GTCTCTCTCACATCAATGTTTCTCTCTCTCTCTCACTCTCTCTCCCTTCCTCTCTCTCTAAAATCAATAAACATATCCTCGGGTGAGAATTTAAAAAATCATCAGAAAGATTTCCTAATTTTAAAGAAACTGATAAAGGAAGACAGCGTGTGACTACATTTACCAGTACAGTGTGATCCAGGAAAGTCTTAAATGCATCACTCCCCTTTGAGAAATATTCTCAGCTGATGCCTGGAATTCCATTATCCAAGTTTCCTCTTGGCTTAAGTCCTCTAATACCTGTCCTAATCCGAAATCCTCCAAAACAAGTGAAGCATTAAGTTATAAGTAAGTCAAGCCTCTGGTGAATGTCTATTTGAGGAAGGTTTGGACCAGAGACTTGAGAGGAAATAGAAAGCTAAAGTCCTCACATTGTGACAAAGTTGGGAAGACCAGGAAGCAGGTCCCTTTCATGGTTTTGCTCTATGTTTACAAATAATTGACAAAGTAAAAAAAATGACTCCAGTTAAAAATTAATGCTATCTTCCCAAATGGTGGTTCTTGGTTACGTATTTGCCCAGAAAAAAACAATTCCTAAGGAAAATGTGGGCACCTAAAGACGAGAGAAGAGCCTTGTCTTATGGGCAGCATTTGGAGAAGGCAAGGAAAGTAACATTTGAATTAGTATATCATTTGAATGATTTTATTTTGCTGGTAAGTTTATGTCATTCTTTTCAGTCCTCTAAATTAACCCATGATTCAAGGATCGTTATTAGTCCCACTTTAAAAACAAACAAACACAAAGCAACTGAGAAGTTCAGACACTTGTCTCAGGTTGCACAGCTGGTCAGGCAGATGTGGGTCTTCCTGACATGAGAGTTCTGTTTCTGTCCCATTCTGCCTCACCAGAGCAGAAAGCTCAAATTCTGCTGTTTGCAAGAAGCGTAGAGATGTCCTCTCGCATGGGCACCAGACATATAACTTCTCACTAATGTATCCACTGGGCTAGCTGAGCAGCCAAGGAGCAAATGTTATGGAGCAAAGAGGAGCTATTATGCTGAGGAGCCAGGGAAAGCACTCCCCTTTGAAATCCACAGGAGCATTGCATGACCAAATGTGCAGAAACAAATCTCTATTGGCTCATGGCTTGGAGAAATCGGTCATGCCATTGGCTGTTCAGTGTTGGGGTTGGGGAATAAAAGCCTTCTGTGGAAAGCCAGGGTGAGTGCAAAGCCATGAAGCCTAGTCATGAAGGCTCTGGGGTCTTCGAGTTGAGCTTGTGTGCTTCTCTTCCACTTACGAAGAGACTCGACCCTTCTGAACCTCAACTTCCTTGCCTGTAAAATGGGGATCGTGATTAAATAAGATGGCGCATCAAATGCCTGAAGTATAGGAAATGCTCAAAAACATTATCATTTTTTTATATTGCCCCCCTCGCCTCTCTCTTTGAAAGTCACAATCCAAAAATCTATTTTATACAAAAGTTAACATTAAGAGAAAGGAGATATCAAAGCCACTCACACAAGCTTGCCTTTTCACATGTATATGGGCACCTGTTGGATTGTGTTGGACACACGTCAGATGTCCCGGAGGAAGCTTTGTAATGTGAGGACAGCTTTGAACATGGCCAAGCAGGGAGACAAGGCCAAGTGAAATTCTGCGCCTTTTACCCTGAGCAACGCAGACAGAATAACAAGGAAGAACAAAGTCATGTTGTACTTGGTGTCTCTCTTCCTGGTGGCTTTTGTGTGGTTTCCTTGGAAGGTTTTACCCTGGTATTTCTCAGAAATAGCACCGTTATTTGGGATGATTACAGGCAATCACCAGTTCCCAGAGAAGGAACTATGTTTGGCTCGCTGACTGGCTGCTCCCCAGGGCCCGGCTGGGGAAAGGTACAGCTGACTTGTTGTTTACCACGTATCAGGTCTTGTAAGATCCAGGAAGAATGGCCCGGGAGCCTTTGGAGAGACTGGCCAAGAAGGATGGCTTGTGAGGGGGGAACCCACGCTCTCATTTGAGAGTCAGAGTGAGTTTGACAGTGGGACATCAACCCATCCAACAGAAGAGCAAACCTGATAGCAGGCTCACCTGACAGACGGTGAAGGCACAAATGTCTCTTAAAATCCATGTTTGAAATCAATGAGTATTAAGAACTCACAGGAGAGCATCTGAGTTCAGAGGAGAAGTCTTTCTTGGAAATCTTGAAGCCACACTGTCCAGTAAAGTAGCCACCAGCCATGTGGTGACTACTGGGCACCGGAAATGTGGCAGGTCCGAGTTGAGATGTGTTATAAAATGCATGATTTCACAGACTTAGTATAAAAAAGTGACATATCTCATTAATTTTTTGTGGTGATTCCATATGGAAGTGATAATATTTTAAGTATATGGGTTAAACAGAATATATTCTTAAAATTAATTGTACTTGGTTATTTGTTTTTTGCCTTTTTTAGTGTGGTTACTAGACATTTTAAATACATATTTGGCTCACATTAAGTTCCTGTCAAACAGTGGGACTTTAGAATTTCATGTATAATTTTTATCCCTATTCATAACTCCAGTTACCATTTACCTCCGCTCATACCCTAGTTATGATGATCTCAGGCTACTGAGACCAACACTCATCCAGAACTTTTCCACCCCAGGGCTTTCTGCTCTGACCACTCACTCTCCCTAGGCTGCTCACTCCCCAGACCCTCTCATGTCTGACTCCTTTCTCAGCTTTCTGATCTTTTCTCAAATGCCCTCCCTCTAGAAAGGCCTGCCCTGACCACACGTTGATCACATCAATCTGTTCTGTTGTCTTTATAGCACTTGTTGGTATTGATTGCCTTCCCAACTAGACTGTGAGCTCCATGAGAAAGTCTACTGTGTTCGTCTCTCTGTTACTGCCTTCAGAACAGTGCCCAGCTCATTGCTGGCCTGCAATAAATATTTCCTGAATGGCTAAATGCATTAGCCTTAAACCTGATGGAGACTGGCTTCTATTCTCAGAAAACACAGGACTAAGTGAGTTCCAAGGACAAAAATGTCGGCAAATGGAGCCGTCATATTACTGCCATGAGCCCTTTGTTGCATTTCATTGTGTGTACTGCTAAGGAAATAACCCAACAGAGATAGAAAAAACAAGATAACCTCAAAGCTGAGACACAATGTTTACTGGTAGCAAAATGGCTGTTGAAAGGACTGCTCCTTTGTACTCTTCTGTTTTGTTTTGTTTTGTTTTGTTTTTAAAAAAAAAAAACATTCTAAAGACTGTGATTATGGGTAGGATCAGGGCATATATTTCTAGCTGTGGAAGACCCTAAGTGAAAAGATAGTATGAGTCCAGGGCACATGTTTACAGAGGCTTTTAAAGGGAGACTGACCTCTTCATACAATGCTAGATTACAACGTGGCTGTAGACCACTGCGTGGGGCAGATGCTTGTTTTTGTTTGTATATATCCTATAAATGTGTGTGGGAAAGTCAAATGCATTCCAAATGGTTAACCTTGACTGCTTCAGGATTGTGGCGAGGGTAGGATAATAAGACACTATAAATAGTTTCTTCATAGACCTCCAGGTTGTTTTATTTCTTGAAAGGACCATGGAGAAATTTTTGTACTTTCAAAAATAAATAAAGTAGATTTTAGAAAGAAAATTTAAACAGAAATACCAGAAAGCTTCCCTGTACTTGATAGGAGGCACTTCTCACATTTTGAAGTTTTTTTTTTAATTAGTTCTGTGCCCAGCTACTAAATAAAGTACAGGCCAGCAAACAATCTGGGTATCAAAAAATGAGAGGTAAAGACTGATCTCACTTCTGGCCAATTCGATGATGCCATGGCTCTCTGAATACCACCAGCCAAGTGCACTCATATATCACAACTCTCTTGTCATAGGACTTCTGAACCTCTTTAATTGAGAGGGTATCCTTTATTGAGGGCAACTATTATAAACAATGTAATTACACCTTTTTCTCCTAATCAACCCTTAAAAGGTAGGTGTTATTATTCTCACTTATCAGATATGGAGATTGAAGTTTAGGGAGGTTGGTAAATTGTCCAAGATCATGAACCTAGTTAGAATCAGAGCTCAACTTTGAACCTAGTCCTTTCTAAGCTTTTACCTAGTTCATCACCACTTGTTGTCTCTTTGTAAGGGATGAGGTGTAATGAAATGTTTCTCCACTGGTTCCACAGATGAATTAAACTTTAATTTCAACAGAAGCCTAATTCTAGGCTCCTGTGAAAGGTTTCTGATCTCAAAAAGCTTTTCCCTAACTGGCCTTCCATGAGCCCCAATAGTCCATTAATAGAATCAGTCCTATTGGGTACCATCCCCTGGGATCCACTCTCCAAGGACAAGGACCCTCACAAACAGGTAACATGTAACATCATTATAAATCATGAAGACCATCGTGTGAATTAGTTTTCAAGGAAATATATCTAACAAGCTTCTAAATGAAAGAGACAAATGGGCCAGTAAGATTTTCTGGGGGTGTGGTGAAGGGAGAGTTATAGAGCAGATTCAGGAACATGCTACAGGGCTGTCATTGTGGGACTGTGGACAACTAAGGGACACGGAGAAGCCAGATGTAGAACAGAAAGATACTACTAAAGGTATACATCAACATCCAGATCAGGCCTGAGCTAATTACTGACTTAATAAGGCTATGGATAGACACAAAGCAGAGAAAACTGGCACATGTGTGACTGGTTTCCCGTAGACTTTGCTACCCATCCCAGGTTCAAGTTCTGCAAATGCTGCCGTTTGTCACAAGCTCACAGAAATGTAAGACACCGTGCTCCATGAGTGGAAATCAGTCACCTCATCAAGAAGACAATTCAAAGAGCATGTTCTCCTAGGACTCTGCTCAGTGTCCTGCTCAGACAATGAGGCCAAGGAGTCGCTTCTGGATATTTGGAGGGTTGGTTTACAAACCTAATGGATCTTACCTAGTAATGGATTTCCGGAAGTAACCTGGATAAAAATATTGTCTGCTCTCTTTTTAAATGGGGTGTGCTTTCCCCTCCCACAGAAAAAGCGCACCTTGAAGGGCTCTATTGAACTCTCCAGGATCAAATGTGTCGAGATTGTGAAAAGTGACATTAGCATCCCTTGCCACTACAAGTATCCTTTTCAGGTAAGTCATCGTGCCTGAGGGCACCAGTTCCTCATACCTTATATATGATGGTTGAAAGTCTCAGTCATTGTAACAGAAGATGAGACAGGGGTGACTCTGGTCTAGCATTAGAACTTAGACAAACGGAAGGAAACAGCTGCTGTGTTCTGTCGATCAATTACACATTCATTCATTCATTCATTCATTCAACAAAGATGACAAAATCTTGAAAAAATTGTCATTCCTCATTCTCCTTTTCCTTATGTCTTTCCTACCTCAAGGAAAGTCGTGGGGGAGGGAAAAAAAAACTAGCAAGGGCCCCAAGCCTAATGTTCTTTAAGAGTAGTTTAGTCATGACTTGGGGTGACCAATTGCAACTCTTGGTTAGCAATTGCTTGGGGGTGCTGAGGTTAAAAGGGATCAGATTTTGCCATCTGAGAACTAGCCGGCATTATGCTGTCCAATACAGTAGCCACTAGCCACATCTGATTGTTTACATTTAAATGTGAATTTGTTTAAATTAAACTATTAAAAATTCAGCTCTGAGTCACATTGGACACATTGAATGAACATTTTACATGTTCAATAGCCACACATGGCTAGTAGCCACAGGTGATAGAATATTGCAATCACTGCCGAAAGTTCTATTGGAAGAGCTTTCTGTCCAGGTGATAGGAAGTTCTATAGGGCAGAGCAGGTGGAGGGTATCTTTAGCCTTTAGGTCATGATATTGCCTACATCTTATTACCACTCTTGGCATTTGTAGCTCTCCAGGAGTGGGTAAGTCCTTGAACATCCTTGGGTATCATTCTTGTTTGACAATCTGGGTGGCATAAAAACGGACTTCTGTCATACTAGAAAGGTGACTTCCCTGGGGTTGGAATTTTTAGGGCTAAAAGTAAAAGGAATAACGTGTATTTTCCTGTCATTAAAATTCCAATTACAAGTGAGTGCAAGACAAAAACTGGTAAAATTCAAAGAAGTTCTGTAGTTTACTTAATAGTTTTGTACCAGGGTCAGTTTCCTGGTTTTGAAAATGTGCTGTGATTACATAAAAGGTTGTCACTGGGGAAAGGTGGGTGCAAAGTACACAGGAACTCTGTACTATTTTTGGAACTTCTTGGGTGTCTTACATTGTTTCAGAATGAGAAGTTCTTAAAATCCCAATTAAACATTTGTCATCTGCTAAGGTAATATCTTACTCTTTCATATGCCAGAAAGACTTTCTTTCCTGAAAAATCAACATGAGAAATAAAGGTGCTGTCAAGAGAACTCTTTCTTCAGCTGTTTTAATTTAGTGATGGCTTAACTGGTGACAAGCAGCCTAAGCTGTGGAGGTTCACTCTGTGTCTGGACAGCACCCCAAAGTCTGAATGAAAAGGACACTGGTCCCCCGATCATCCAGAGTTTGCTTTTTGGACAACAAACACTGAGACCCCACTCTTAGCCCAGGAAGCCAGATGGGCCTGCTGTCAGTCATCCCTCTCCAGCCACACCACTCACCTTGAACTCTGTGTGTGTCTCCAGGTTGTGCATGACAACTACCTCCTGTATGTGTTTGCTCCAGACCGTGAGAGCCGGCAGCGCTGGGTGTTGGCCCTTAAAGAAGGTAATTAACCTCCTGTGTGGCTGGGTCCTGAGATCCCTTGATCCTCTAGCAGGCTTGGGTTCCACAGTAGAATAAAGGGCAGCTGAGGGTCAAAAATTTCTTCCTTTTGGTGTTGCTGGAAGGTCCAAACCTTTCACTCTGGGCCCAAATGGTAACAACCAGTATAGTGCAGGGTCAGAAAATCCAGCCCACCACTGGTTTTTGGTTTAAGGTTCCAAGCTAAGGATGATTTTTTTTTTAATGGTTTCATTTTACAGGGTTATAGAAGTACCTACATAATGTATCAAATCTGCCTGCTGATGAGCAACCTAAAATATTTACTATTTGTCCCTTTAAGAAAAAAGTTGGCTGTCTCCTGGTTTGGGGTGAAGAATAAGAGCATGGACCCGCCAGTTAGATGACCTGGACTTGAGTCCTGGCTCTGCCACTTGCTAGCCATGTGTGCCTGAGCAACTTCCTCCACTGCTCTGTGCTTCAGTTTCCCCATCTATTTTTAAAAGGGGGTGTAGGAGGGAATAATAATAGTGCCCGCCTTCAGAACTGCTGTCAGTAAAGCCCTTGGAGCTAGCTGGCCCAGAGCCAGCGCCCAATAAATGTTAACTAGCTTTAAACGCTGTCAGACCAGCAGCAAGGGTATTTCTTAAGGCTCACCTTTCTGAACGCATAATTAGAAACAGCACAGCGTTTGGGTCCATGTGATGTGGAGCCAGGCTGCTAAGGTGAAAATCCCAGCTCTGCCAATTACTAATGTGTGACTTGGAGCAAGTTCCTTGACCTTTCAGTGTCTCCATTTCTCAGCTGTGAATTCTGACTGGTAACACCCATAAGGTTATTGTGAGAATTAAATGGCTTAGGACACGGCAGATGCACAGGACAAAACCAAAAGGGAGCACGCAATCGGTGTTTCTATTATTATTATTATTTAGCTTGAAGCCCTGGTTTTACAGGAGAATGGGGTTCAATTATTAATCTGTCTCTAAGTAGCTATGGGGACTCATGGTAAGCAAGCTATTGGAAATCTCAGTAGCCACAATGCCCCTCTCTGAAAAATGAGAATAAAAATGGGAGTCTTATCTTCTCCCAAGGTTAGTGTGAGTCTCAACTGGTATATGAACAGGCAAGTGCTGGGTAAATTGGAAAGTGCTCTCAAGTATAACAGCCACAGAACAAACATGAGAAGTAATCAAAAGGGCTCAAACTGTGATCATTGCCCTTCTCCCTCTGGGAGAGGCTTTTACTCATAGGATGCTAAAACTAGGAGAAGCATGAAAGACAGTCCATCTAGTTCTCCAGCTTTTATACTGTGGTTTTTTGTGTTTTTTTTTTCAACAATAGAGTCTTCCCCCCACCTCACCATAACCTTACTTTATTTTTTTTAAATATATTTTTTATTGATTTTTTACAGAGAGGAAGGGAGAGGGATAGAGAGTTAGAAACATCGATGAGAGAGAAACATTGATCAGCTGCTTCTTGCACACCCCAAACTGGGGATGTGCCCACAACCAAGGTACATGCCCTTACCAAGGTACATGCCCTTGGCCGGAATCGAACCTGGGACCTTTCAGTCCGCGGGCCGACGTTCTATCCACTGAGCCAAACCGGTTAGGGCCATAATCTTACTTTAAAGCCACAGATCTAGAAGGGATAAAAGCAAAGTTGCTGTGGTTGAAAGTGGGAGAGATAGAAAGGGGGAATCCCAACTACTCAGTCTTCCCATTACCCTAAGGCAGTGGTCGGCAAACTGCGGCCCCTTGAGTGTGGCTCTTCCACAAAATACTACATGCGTATAGTGCGATTGAAATGTCGTGGCCACACTGAAGGGGCCAAAGAGCCACATGTAGCTCACGAGCCGCAGTTTGCCGACCACTGCCCTAAGGCACTTTGTGGGGCCCACTGAACCAATCTAACAACCTCATTGTACACTGGGGAAACTGAGGCTCGGACAAGGGTTTTGCCCAACCTAAGGACATATAACTAATCCAAGACAGAGCCAGAGATCTGCTGATACAACATGCACTCCTGCATACATGTATATGCCTGGGAAAAGGGACATTTTTCTGACTATTCTGAGTACTAGTCACTCAGTTCACACAGGTGGGTCCAATCTCAAGTTAGTAGTCCTCTATAGACTGATCTGGAAATAACTCTTCTGCTGGTGTCAACTCCTTTCAGAAACGAGGAATAATAACAGTTTGGTGTCCAAGTATCATCCTAATTTCTGGATGGATGGGAGGTGGAGGTGCTGTGCTCAGCTGGAGAAGCTTGCAGTGGGCTGCACCCAGTACGATCCAACCAAAAATGGTAAGACACTGGGAATTCCCTTTCTTCTTTGTAAAATGCATGACCTCACTATTGGTAGGAAGTAAAAGCTCTCAGCTTCTCCGACATCAGGGGTGTTGGAGACCTGATGCAAAATTCTACATTTTTAGAAATTTCAGAGGAAAATCACCAGCCTTTACTATCGGGTCTGTTGATTTTTTTCCATCTCTATACCTCCTCCTACTCAAAGGGTGGTCCTTGGATCAACAGCATCAACATCACCTGAGAGCTAGTTAGAAATGCAAATTCTCTGGCCCCATCCCTGGTCTTCTGGATCAGAATTTGTATTTTAACAAAATCCCCAGGAGATTAATATGCACAGTAATGTTTGAGAAGCACTGCTATAACTTTCAAGTTAGCAAATTTGAATGCATGGTCTACTTAAATCTTAAATTTTAGGAACACCTTAAGAGGTATATAATATTTTTTTTATTATTGTTTAAAGTATTACATATGTCTCCTTTTCTCACATTGACCCCTCCCAGGCCACTCTCACCTCCCCCAGGACACGCCCCCACCACCCCAGTGTCCGTGACCATTGGTTATGCTAATATGTATGCATACAAGTCCTTTGGTTGATCTCTTACCTCCCCCCATTATATTTATTTTTTATAGAGTCATCACATCACACAAGTATTAATTACACAAGTTCAACTCTATACACTTGGAGAGGGAAGAAAGTAAAAACAAAACAACAGCTCTCTGGCTCCTCCCCACTTCCCCTTCAAACTTGCCCTGGCCCTCCGCAATGTCAGAGAAAAGGAGGCCACAGCTTATATGCAAAGTGAAAACAAAAGAAACTGTTGTTTGGCCTGCGAAGTCAAGGGCTCAGATCCTGGGGATGAGGGTGCAACTCGATTTTACTTTATGTGATGACTTGGAGACCTGAACTCCCAATAAAGTGCAGCTCCACTCTGATACACTTTTATATGCAATATGCTCCCGTTTCTGGGGTAGAGGATGTGATGTTAAAGAAAGAGGGGACTGAGGGTTCAGGATGCTCAAGGTTACACAGCGAGGAAGTGTTCTGCAAAGCCACTGTTGAATAGGAATGATGGAATTTTTTGCTCCCATTCCCCTCACCTCTCAACCTCTTAGCCCAATTACCTTTTCTCATCTGTCAATTTTTTTTTTTTTGCACTAAAACCTAATACCTCAGATTGACAACTCAAGGCGGATGTGTTAAATGTGACACATGGCTGGATTTTCTGTGGCTTCCTGAGTCATAGCCCATTTTAGTACCAGTTTAGAAAACACTGCTTCTCACCCTCCACCTTGGAAGAGAAAGTTCAAGGTTACCAGTCCCTTGGCCCAGAATAATACTGTTTATCTAATTTTAGAAATCAATGATCCTCTGCATTAGCCCTGTTGACCATACTCATGAAGATGATGAGTATTTAATGAAAAGGAAACGGAAGGTTTTATGTGGGTGGAATTGACCACAATGACAGGGTGGCATGGGCTGGCCTCAGGGAGTGAAAACCCTTCCCAACGCCAGAAATCTGGTGTCCAAATTCCTGCCAGCACCTTGCTGTGGACCCCCAGATGAGTCACTTGGCCATTGAAGGACCCTAACATCTTTATCTGTGAAATGGTCAGGGAAGCTTTAGGGGGCCTACGCTGAAATATTCTCTAAGCCCCTTTCCATTTTTGAAATGCTTTGAATCTGTGTTTCCATTTGCTGTTTCCACCATGCATGTCACAGCTGTATCGGTTCAGGGTGAGCAGTGTTTCCCTCCGCTGAGTGGTGGACACATGACTGAGGTGTGAGAACCATCGGAATAACTCACCAGATGACACCTGGGAGGCTGGTCATGCTGAGCTTCTCCCCACATGAACCCAGGGCAGTCACTTTGCCAATGGTCCTGCTTCTGCATTGCCACCTAGATCATGTCCCCACCTGACCATGCTTTCTTTATACTCTTTTAGACTTGTTTTAAATAGCTATGCACCACGGCTTTGACAGAGCTAAGAGAAGAGTCTGAGAACATACCACGCTGTGCACACAGCACATGATCGTTAGCTTTGGGTGAAGTCTCATAGGATTCCTGTGTTGGGCACACGTACAGGGAAGGGTCCAATTCCACAGACCTCTGGGGTGAAAAACACTTGGAGGGGTGAGTCCCAGCCCCATCACTTCCTTGCTATGTGACTTCACATATGTTACTTAACCTATCTGCATCTCTCTGAGTCAGTTTTCTCATCTATAAAATGGGGACAATGATTATAAGTAGCTACTTTGTGGGGTTGTTGGGAGACTTGGGTTATGCAAAGCTCTTAGCACAGCTTCTGGCACTTACTGAGCTCTCCATAAATAGCCATTTTGTCTATTAATCTTTCTTATCTGTGGACAGAAGAATGAAGCTGAGATATAGTAGTATGTGTATGTATGTCTGGGAAGCAGGAGAGGTGATTGAGTAAAAATGGACCCTGCTGTACCCAACCCACAGCAACACTTATTTTTGCAACCAAAACTGGCCTTGATCTCACCACATACCAACTTCACACAGAGGGCAAGGAAGGAAGGGAAGAACAAGGCCAGAGGAAGAACGAGATCAGTCACAGAATGTTCAGGGCCAGAAGGGCCCAAGGCCACACAGCTGGTATGTGGTGGAGCTGGGGTGAGAATGCCAGTCTCCTGGCTCCAAGTTCAATGCTGAGTAAGAAGCATGCTTCCTATTATGTCAGTTTTCCCTCTTCTCTGTGAATTGCATACCCAATGCCCAACCCTGCCCGTGCTCAAGGAGTTAGCACAAAAGGAGGTGAACCTCCTCTTACCACATCCCTGACACAGGCTGCCCAACATCAAGTCAGCCTCATGCAGAGATGAGGAACTCACCATCTACTTATGCATCCCAGTCCCCTCTTATCTCTGATTGTTAGAGAAATCTTTGAATTGAGCAGAAGCCTGTGAACGGCCTCTTATATGCCACCCATACACACACACTTGGTCCATGGATTCCAGGCCTGACTTTCCAGGGTCTGAAAAGAGAAATACTGAGAGATGGGGAAAGAGATGAAAAGAAAGAGAGAGGAAGAAAGAGAAAGAATAGAGAAGAAAGAAGGACAGAAGGAATGGAGAGAGGAGAGATCAAGAAAGGTGTTGGTGTGTGCTGTGTGGAGGAGGCAGCAAAAACACATACTCAGAGGCCCTAAGGTAACTAAAAGTGGATTTCAGCCTTGGTGGCCGCCCCCCCTCCCACCTCCTCCTCTAGCCCACAACAGCATCAGGAAGCCAGTGAGTCACTGCCCCCCTGAGTCAGCAATTCCTACTCCTGGGCTTAGCAGGTGCCATCGTGGAAGTCTCCAGGAAGGACACAAGCCTAATCCCTGTCACAACCTTGGGGTTAGGCTTTGCCTGGGAACACAGAAAAAGAGGCCTGGAATATTGGCTTCCAGAAGTTCCTGGTGTCTCCTAGAACGACATGGCGAACCAGCAGGCTGAGGGAGATACAACAGAGGTTCTACCAGGGTCGGTCTTTGTATTTCTGTGTCTCACCGGCTCTTTCTGCCCCTTTCTCCTGCTGTTCTCCTCAAAGAGGGCCCCTTTTCTCTGAAAAGCCCCCGACAGCTCACCTCCGGTTGGGGATGTTCAGTTTTAGGCTCATTTTCTTTTTCTGTTTTTCTCGTTTCAGCTTCAAAGAAGCCTCTTCCTCCTACTCCTGAAGACAACAGGGTGAGTGAAACCTTTAGCGCCGAGTGAGGGTGGGCCCACTGCTGCGGGCTGCTTGACTGGCATGTTCCCACCTGCATTTTTCCTGCGTGCCCAGATTCCTCAGACCCTCTGTGAAGGCAATACCAGTAGAGTGTCGTGCTTCAGCTGAACTCAGCACACTGGGCCTGGCAGTTGGGCCTGAACTGTCTCATGGGTCTGTCCATGTAAATGGGCCACTGAGCTGCTAAAGCTTCACCTCACTTTGCCCACTCAACAAACACTGTATTAAATGCTGTGTCCAGCCACCTGACTACTTTGGAGTATAATAGCCGCTCACATCTACGTAAACTTGCATATTTACTCCGTGTAAAATTGCATATTCGTTCTACATAAAGGCACTTTGGAAGCATATATTTGATATTACTTTATATTCTTTATAGCACTTCCGCACTTTTACTAGTTCAAAACTCACTAGGAGTTCGAGCTGCTCAAGAGAGGTAGCGCTTCATTCTCTTCCTAACGCTTGGGAAATCAAGTCCCAAGAGACGTGTTGGGACTCTCCCAAGGCCATTCAGACACTTGGGAGTCAAACCAGTAGGCTGCAGAGTTTCTGGTGGGGTGGTCTCTAATTTGAGTGGTGGTTCTCAAAGTCTAGTCCATGGACCAGCGGCATCAACATCACTTGGGAGCTTGTTAGAAATTCAATGCGGACACTCAGGCCCCTCCCCAGACCTACTTCATTAAAATCCTGGGGAAGAGGCCCAGCAATCTGCATTTTAACAAAGCTCCAGGTGAGTCTGAGGCACACTGAAGTTTGAGAAACACTGGCCAAGATTTCAGTGATATTGAGTCAACTCTGGGGAAGCTATTTAGTCAAGAAGACAAAAAAAAAAAAAAAAAAAAAGGAGAAAGATCAGCCTGCCCCTTATGATCATATCAATACCAAACACCACATTTTAGTACTTGCCCTTTAATTCCAAAACCTACTGATTCTGCTTCCTCACTGCTCTTCCCAAAGGATCAGCTCTGCTGCTTCCCTCCACATGGTGACATTTCAGAAACTGGCAGCGTCCTCATAAGAGAAGTTTTAAATCGCTCAAAACCTCAGGCTGGTTTTTAGATCTGTGTCATCGGCCTCACCCCTCACAACAGGAAAGCAGTGTGTTAAGTTATAGCAGAAAATGAGCTCTTCTCCCTCTTTTTTTCATTGATCTTCTAAAAATATTTCACCACATCTCTTGAAGACATGGGTCGGAATCTCACCACCCTGGCACGCAGATGGTTTCCCCCCCAGTCTCACCTAAACCCACACACCTCTACGCCTTAAGCTGGTTTGCCCTTGTCTGATTTTCACTATCCATGAAGGTGAAGGACAGAAAGCACTGCCCACCCTGCTCTCCTTGGATTCTGCCACTTGGCTCTTGAAGACTTTTCAGAGCACATGGCCTTTGCAGTCGTTGTTCTACTTTCAACCACAGGTTTAAATCCATTGCAACATTTCTTACCTTGAGCCACTTGAATTTACTTCTCCCTTCACTTATGTGCTCTGTCCCCTAACGGGTGACAGCATCTTGAATGGGCATCTAGAGGTGCTATATGTATTTTTTAACCAGTCTGAGCTAACAGGCCTGATGCTCTGTGTGAGAGAGACTGTGGAATAATCATATCCCGCCTTTACCTCCAGATGCCCTTGACACAACTCCTTCTTCTTAGGGCAAAAGCCTCAGGCCCATCAACTCTACTTCAAGGAACCCAATGTACCACTTCACAAGCTTCATAAATAGCTAGGCTTCAAATTCCATTCTGGACACAGCTGGGATCACACACAAAAAAAAAAATTCTTTTTTTTTTCTTCCTTTTTAAGCACTAGTATTTTTATGCTATCAAATACTTCAAGGACTCAGAGAATTTTTGACTTTTATAACAACAAATCTCATTCTAGCCGGTAATCGCAATCTCTTCCCTAATTAACTCTCTCACTAAATTTGCCAACCCGCAGCATGTGTGCCCATCCTGGACTTGTCAGCCTTACAGTCTCTTCTTCATGTCCTCAATCTCTCATCCTAAGAAAGGTATTAAAAAGTAGTGACAGACCTGACTGGTTTGGCTCAGTGGATAGAGTGTCGGCCTGTGGACTGAAGGGTCCCAGGTTCGACTCCAGTCAAGGGCATGTACCTTGGTTGTGGGCACATTCCCAGTAGGGGGTGTGCAGGAGGCAGCTGATCAATGCTTCTCTCTCATCGATGTTTCTAATTCTCCATCCCTCTCCCTTCCTCTCTGTAAAAAATCAACAAAATATATATATTTTTTTAAAAAGTAGAGACATAGGCAACAGAGCCCATAAGAAGGGAGCCCGTGTACTATAGTGGAAAGAGCATTAAGACTAATTCAAGTGCTAAACTGAGTACATGCATTACTCCATCTGGGCCTCAGTTTCCCCATTCTAAACAAAAGAGTGAATTGCATGACCTCTAAGAGGAATTCCAGCTTATGATTCTATGGATCTGGACAAACCCACAAATCAAATCAGAGAAGCATGGGCTAAACGATTTAGTGTTGGCTGTATCACCTTCACCAAGAATGTCATGCTTCCAGCAGAGAGGCTGCAACATGTGACATAGTACAAATGGAGAAATCAGCAGGCTTTTGTGAAATGTGAGTGGCTACTTGGAATTCACTGTGGTCGGAATTCACCTCGTAGAATGGGAGGGGTGATGAATTCCAGGTATTGAATGTCCTTGTGTCATATTCAGTACCGTGATCCTAACACATAAAGAGAGACAACTAGAGAAAGGCAATTGTCTCAGAGAATACCCCAGTGGATTGTAGGAACTGGTGTTTGACCTGGCACCCTCCCAGGAGCAAGTTATAGCTCAGGGACTTGCTGACCTCGCTCTGCAGTTTACCTCCTTCCTACATCTTTGTTTGATTTTGTCTTCTTCCTCCAGCGATCACTTCAGGAGCATGAAGAAACCCTGGTCATTGCCTTGTATGACTACCAAACGAACGACCCTCAGGAACTCACGCTACAGCGCAATGACGAGTACTACCTGCTGGACAGCTCTGAGATTCACTGGTGGAGAGTTCAGGACAAGAATGGGTAAGGCCTCTCTGGTTGCTGTCCAGCGTTTGAGGTGAGGTAGTTTGTCCTGCCCCTCAACAGGACCACGGCACTGAGTTAGGAGAGGAGAGCAGCAGTAGAGGAAGTGGAAGGAAGTCATTGAGGGGTGTCTTTCCGTTTCTCAGAAGTGGCTGGGAGGCAGTCACTTGCTATGCTTGCCCCCTGCACCCCATCAAGCACTCCGGGGCCCCCAAACTCATCTAACAATCTCCTGGGTTTTTCTATTAACATCCACCATTTGGGAGGCTGACAATTTATTCCACAAAGAAGCACTATTGTGCCTATATGGGAAGGCTGTACTAGACACAGGTTCAAGACTGCCTGGCTCTCCAAACAGCAGTGGAACCTACTCAGAAGTCCATCTCTTCAACCAACTGACATTTCATTAGCACCTGAAGTGCCAGGAAATTTCTTCTCCTAGGTCTCACTTTCCCAAATGACAGTTTACCCTTTGTTCAGGGGCCTGTAGAAAGGCTCAACTCTACACTTCAAAGGGATATGAAGAGGACACCCCAGAGGCCAGTCGGCATATGGGAATTTCCCCGTTTGCTCTGTAATAGTGCGATATCATGGAAAGTACACAAGGTGGCAAGACAGAAGAGTTGCACTTTAATGTCAGCTGCTCCTGTTGCACAGGACTTTGGAAAAAGTCCCTTAACCTTTGTGAATGTATTTCCTCATCTGCAAAATGCAGACTATAATATCAGCTTTATTTATTGATGGGAGGGAGAGAGGGAGGGAGGGAGGGAGAGAGAGAGAGAGAGAGAGAGAGAGAGAGAGAGAGAGAGAGAGAGAGAGAGACTTGTTGTTCCAGTTATTAATGCATTCTTTGGTTGATTTTTGTATGTGCTCTGATCTGGGGATTGAACCCACAGCCTCAGAATATCAGGACAGTATTCTAACCAACTGAGCTACCCGGCCAGGCCTGATAATATCAGCTTTGACTATCTCAGAATTTTGAGAAAAATCAGTGAGATGATGAAAGTGAAAGGTCTTCGTAAATTCTATATCCACAGACGAGTGAAGATAATTATCATCATAGTGTAGAGAACTCCACTTTGGTTGGCATGTTAAAACTCAGTCATTCTACTTGAAAGCAAAAATAGTATTTGACCTATTATTATAATTGTAAACATATGGTGTGGCAGGAACAGATATTAAGAGAGATATAAAAGAAATAGCAAATTTCAGAACAAGCTGACTCCTACCACTTGGCACTGACTACCGTGAGCACGGGGTTAGGGAGGCTTCTGTGGCTGGAAGTCCAATTCTCCAAAGAAAGCGCATCGTGACTGACTAGCTCTGTCAGCCGTGGGCACAGGCCATGAGATCATCATCCCGTGATGGACAGCCCCATTCTTGCTTTCTTCAAACCTCAAAGCAATTCTGTGAAATAGATTACACATTCCCCATAAGCATCATCCCTCGATTGAAAAATGGCAAAACACTTTACGAAGTAAAAAGCAAGAAACTGTCGGCCATCTTTTGATAGACTGGCAGAGTCTGGAGGGATTGTATGTGTAATCTAGTTTAGGTCCCTTATTGCAGGTACAGAGTCAGAGGCCGAGAGAGTGAAGGCACACTGTTCTCACCTTGTGGTATGAAAGGCAATCGCGAATGTGAATGTAAAAGTGCTTTGGAAAGCACAAAGCTCCACACAATTGTGAAGTATTTGGATGCGCTTATTCGTCCCTTAATCTGTATGTCTTTGTTTATGCAAAATTATTTAGTCCTGCTCAAAAGGGATGCCCGTCCCCAAATCCAACATGACTTGTTCCTTTTTTCTCATGTTTTACCATTTATGTCTGAAGGAGCTCAATTAACAAAGAATATTAGGGAGGCTTTGAATTAAAACTTACAATGCTGACTGGCAGTATTTTTTGACACCTGTGGTTGGATAGTAATTTTTTAATATTTTAATTATTTTGGTTTCCTGACTGTAGCAAAATAGCATTAAAGTGGAAAAGATACTGATTATCAAATGCAGAAAAAGTTTCCTTATAGAAAATAGAGACCACACATTGACCTTTTTTTTCCAGTAGAGGAACTTTCACGCTGAGGAGAGAACAGCAAGCAGCATGTTTTAACTAAAATAGTGGTGTTTTATTTAGTATGGTTCATGTTTCAGTAGTGAATCTATTGCCTTTAACAGATAGATTGTTGTTATTTTTTAGCAATGTTTTTATTCTCAAACTTCAAAATCTCTTGTCAGGAATGCCAAATAATGTGAGACTCTCCCAACTCTAAGGGACTTTTAGCAAATTAAACTTATAGAATGGAGATATGAAAATTAGTCCTCTATTAGTCTAAACCAGCAGTTCTCAACCTGTGGGTCGCGACCCCTTTGGGGGTCGAACGACCCTTTCATGGGGTCGCCGAAATACATCCTGCATATCAGATATTTATATTACCATTCATAACAGTAGCAAAATTACAGTTATGAAGTAGCAATGAAAATAATTTTATGGTTGGGGGTCACCACAACATGAGGAACTGTATTAAAGGGTCGCGGCATTAGGAAGGTTGAGAACCACTGGTCTAAACACTGATTTCCCCTTTCACAGACACGAAGGATACGTACCAAGCAGCTATCTGGTGGAAAAATCTGCAAATAACCTGGAAACCTACGAGTAAGATATTTTATTTATTTTTAAAAAATACGGTACTAAGGAGTCCTCCTTGGTTTAGAAACAAATTGTTGGTTGATGATAAAATCACCAGGCATTTTCTCTTCTTGACCTGCTTTCTTCTCCTCATCCCTAAGTAGCAGCAGAAGGACATTTTATATAGGAGAAGGGGAGGGGGGCGTGTTCTCACCTGCCCTTTTACCAAGAGGATACTTCTCAGATGCCTATGCAGATTGTAGGAAAGGAAAAGGTTCTGAGAGTCCGAGAATATTGGTCTTAACTGAGAACGAAAAAAATGCTATGAACACTGGTTCAAATACAAACTGATTCAAAACATGGTTTCATACATCCAATACCAAAATAGCAGACAAATAGGTATTAAATATCTGCTTAGCTTGTGTTGTTTGTTCCAAGCTATCATTTAGAAGAGCCCACATGGGTATTATTTTAGTGGAACTACTTAGAGTTTAATACAATCAAATTGCCGCGTCCAGGGTACTCACCATACGTACATAGATTTCCTGGCTCAGCTGCTGAAAGGCCCAGAAGCAACAACACCAAAGTAGCAGTGTGCACACTGGATCTTGGTTTGTAAACCACACTTCCCCCTCTACAGACCAGGAGTTCTTGGAGGAACGAATTGTGGATTCAGAGGTGGGGCACTAGTAATCCTGGATTGGCTCTTGAATCATTAAAAAATCAGCTGTAATACACATTATTGGGACAATTGATGAACACTGAATAAGGTCTGATATTAAATAATAGTATTGTATCACTGTTAAATTTCCTGATTTGGATAATTGCATTATGGTTATATAAATGTATACTCTATTTCTTCGAAATACATACTGAAGTCATTAGGAATAAAAGTCTATTTTCAAATGGTTCAGAAAAATATAGATTTATCTATCCAGAGACACTGGTAAAGCAAATGTAAACAATTGGTTCCTCTGGGGGAAGTGTATATGGGAGTTCTTTTATAGTGTCTTACAACTTTTCTATACCCTTGAAATTATTTTAAAAAAAATTCTTTTTAAGTCCTCACCAAATATGCAATACCAAGGTTGAAGAATGCTAGCTGTGAAGACTTCTATTAACTTCTGAGGGTTCTTAGTAGTTCAAATGCGATCAAGTTATTTGTTGCCGAAATTTGAATAAATTCTACAGAGAAGAACTGTCATTTATTTTCTGAAGAGTCTCTCAATATGAGATTCATTTTGATGACGTACACAAATAACCTCACCCCTCAGCTAAAAGAGCCATCAGTTCCAAGAATCCTTGAGCTACAATGAAACACATAAAACATGCTTGAATAGAATTCTTTTTTAAAATAATCAATGCCTGTAGAAAGAAATATGCATTTATTCCAAATGCTCACCAGGCTTGGAAGTTTTGTTTTTGCTTTTAATTCGAATCTCCTAATTTATGATGGAGGAGACAAACCCAAAATTCCAACCGACTATACAGCAATATAGAATGGTGAAGCCTGGGTCAAATGAAAATGTATATTCTCCCTCCTGGAGGTATTTCTGGCATTAATTATCTTTCACAAGTAAATCATCAAAAATTTCAAATGTCATTGATATATGGCTTTTTCCTGCTTTCAGGTGGTACAATAAGAGTATCAGCCGAGACAAAGCTGAAAAACTTCTTTTGGACACAGTAAGTCTCCTTCACCCGCCTTTTGACTTAAAATAAATTGTACTGGCATTAGCCATTTAAAGAAAAATCTCTCCATCCGAGTCTAATATTCAGATGATGCTCTGACTAGTGCCCAACCCTAACCTTCCCAGTGAGACCAGTAGGCAGTAGGCATGAGTTAATGAAGGCATTAGTCTCCTTATGCCAAATATCAACACTATTCCTGCCATGTCATCATATACCGTTTTCCAGCTGTGGTTTGAAAGTATTTCCTATCTTTAAGAATCAAATGCAAATCTTTCCTGAATGGAATGAAGCTGGAATGGCCAACTCATCTTGGCTTGCCTGGAATTGTTCTATTTGTAAAACGGAGACTCCTGTGTCCCAGGGGCACCCCTATCCCCCACCAGTCCCAGGCAAATGGATAATTGGCCACCCAAACCATCCATGATTTTGGACAGTGGTTAGAAATTTAGAGAAGGAACCTGGGAAGATGTCAGGAAAGGTGTGAAAGGCTGTGATGGGAAGGTAGAAGGATGACGAATATTTTCAAAGAATAATTTTAAGACACAGAGTTTATTATTAATGTCTGTTTGCTTTTGCACAAGAGAAACTGAGAATAGATTGATTCATTCTATCAGAGGAAACAAATATAATATCTGTAAGAGGAAAATGGGAGGGGAGAAGGAAAGTCCACAGTCATATTGGGGATAGCGAACTTGGGTTTTTCTTCTTTGGGTAAGTTGCTCTTAGCAGGCAGCTAACAAGAGGACAAGGTAAGCTGTTCTGCCCTTGGGCAACTTGTCCTCACCAAAAAGGGAAGGTTTAGGTGTCTGTGGATTCTCCAAAAGACTGTGTGTTTACCAGTGATGAATGTGACACCGGCAGTCTATTACACCGGCTGTCTCAATGATCACCTGTCTCAGTTATGGTATGCTTGCACCATTTCCTTTATTAGGACTTCTTAATATAAACTCCAGGACCTCACCATGTTGCTGAGCACAGGACTAAATACTTAGGATTTTTGAGCTCAGTGAGCTTTGGGCTCTATTGTTTTATTTTCAAAACAAACTCTGAAAAAAGACTTCAAGGGCAATCTAAGATAAGCTATGAGCATATGAGGCAGGCTCGCAGTGGTCTCTGAGTTCAGAGAAGATGCTAGCGGAGTTAGAAAGATTTCATGGAAGAAGAGGAATTAAGCTGAGTCATTATTGGACTCTGGTTTCTATTTGGTTCCACATTGACTTAGCATTTAATCTTTTCCTGGTGTTCCCAACAGAACCACTGGGGAAATTTTATTTATTTATTTATTCATTCATTCATTTTTTTATTGATTTTTATTGATTTTTTATTGATTTCAGAGAGGAAGGAGAGGGAGAGAGAGACAAAAATATCAATGATGAGAAAGAATCATTAATTGGCTGCCTCCTATATGCCCCCTATCGGGCATGTGCCCTTGACCAGAATCGAACCCAGGACCCTTCAGTCCACAGGCCCACGCTTTATCCACTGAGCCAAACCATCTAGGACCCACTAGGAAACTTAAAAATTCAGATTCCCAGGGACCACCCCAGATCTACAGGTCAGAATCTCTAGTTTGAGGTCCTGGGGATCTGTATTTTTCCAGTCAAACTTGGGATCCATATGTAGCCACCCTGGCACCTGGTTTCCCCAACCTATGTTATTGGATAACATAGTGAAACTCAGCTAGTTGAGAGGAGTGCAAAATTATTGAAAACCTGGATTATACTGAGTTTAAACAAGTGCGGTTTTGTTATTTTCAATCACACACATTGGTTGGTGAAGTATTGCCTATGGCCTCATGAATGACTAGCTAAAAATGACTCCTATTTTACAGCAGTTCTTTGAAGGAATTTAAATACAGTCTGCTTGCCCTGGATGTTGAAACATTCCTCCTTACTAATACTCTGAGCTACTTTATCAAGTCCTTTTTGCCTCCTTAGGTAACACAAGTGTTATATGCTGTTTGAAACAACTGCTGAATTGTTTCATGGGTATATTAGTGCCTCCTTATCTAACAAGTATAGGACCATTATGACATGCATTGACTCATTTTCCTTAACCAATAATGGATTTCTTTCATTTTTAAACTAAGTCTCCTGATGTAGTGCCCTATACATATTTCTCCACTAGATTAGACATCCTTTACCATATCATGTACCTACTGTACCTAGGAACCCAGACCTGTACCAAGTAGTTGCTCAATAAATGAATGAATGAATACATAAAATGTTTAACAAATGCTTTCAAATGAACAACTGTGCTTAAGGAAAATCTGGCTGATATGAGCATTATTGGGGGAGGTTTTTAAAAAATACAAATTCTAAGACTGTAGCCCTCACCAATCAGAAACTCTGGAGGTGGCTCCAGGTGATTCTGGGACTTACCCAAGTTTGGGAACCACAGAAAAGCATCTCCTATGGTGTCCTATCAACTCTTCAGGTAACACATCCTTGGCATGATTTTTTGTCTATTGTTATCAGTTTAATTATTTTTTAAAAATCTTTTTTTATTAATTTCAGAGAGGAAGGGAGCGGGAGAGAGAGAAACATCAATGATAAGAATCATTGATTGGCTGCCTCCTACACGCCACCCACTGTGGATTAAGCTGCAACCCGGGCCTGTGCCCTGACCCAGAATCGAACTGGGACCTCCTGGTTCATATGCTCAACTTCTGAGCCACGCCAGCTAGGTATTTTTCCTTCTTTCTTTTTTTAAAACTATATTTTTATTGATTTCATAGAGGAAAGGAGAAGGAGAGAGAGATAGAAACATCAATGATGAGAGAGATACTTTTTTTTTCTAGATAAAATATAAAAGGTAGCCCTGACCAGTTTGGCTCAGTGGATAGAGCGTCGGTCTGCGGACTGAAGGGTCCCAGGTTCGATTCCGGTCAAGGGCATGTACCTTGGTTGCGGGCACATCCCCAGTGGGTTTGTGTGCAGGAGGCAGCTGATTGATGTTTCTCTCTCATCGATGTTTCTAACTCTCTATCCCTCTCCCTTCCTCTCTGTGAAAAATCAATAAAATAAATTTTAAAAATAAAAATAAAATAAAATATAAAAGGTAAATAGAGACCTTGACAATGTCCCGTTGGAGTGAGGTTCCCCTGCCCTGGGCTGCATCGCTCAGGCCAGTGCCCCAGTGTATCGCAGTGATATGAGCAAGACCCTTCAGCCTCCCCTGTTCTTGGTGGTTGTGACTTCCTCTGAGCCCTTTTCGGAAGTAGGTGGTGTGGCATGTGCTGGATGCCTCATTTTCCCCAGAACTCTAGGCCCCCTCAGCCCCAAACCAGAGTTTCCTGTCACCATCGCTGCCTGTCGCCTAGAGCAACTGCAGGGGAGGAGGAGCTCGGGGCCTCCTGCACCGCAGAGCTGACTGCAAACCTGGCCTCACAGGCTCCTCATGTCTGCCATGACTCTTGTTAACAGCTGTGCCCGGCTCTGATTGCAAATCTCTGTCCAAAAAAACCCCATAATAATAATAATCATGATGATGATGATGATGATGATGATGATAATGGCTTCTTGGAAGGAATAGCAACAACAAAATGCTCTTAATTCAATAGAAGAGATGTACCCACTCCCCTCTTCACAAGACAGTTGTTAAACTTCTGGGCTTTTGGTCTATGTTTCTTCCCCTTTAGAATAACTTACACATGCAGATAAAGCTGGCCTCTGTTGAAGTTTTGTTTCTTCGTGCCTTGCGTTTAACCCATCACATTTCCACGAGGCAAGAGCAAACGCTTCGCTATTTAGCAAAAGGGGAGACATTTGGAAGACAATCTATGCTACACATAATGGGTGGATGAATATCACAAACATAATGTTGAGAGACAAAACTGACATACAACATTGCATAAGTTCAGGGTGTACAACCTAATGATTTCATACATGTGTATATCGCAAACTGATCGCCACAATTAGTTAACAGCCATCACTACACAGTTACAAGGTGTGTTTTTTTCCTTATGACGACTTTTAAGACCTACTCTCTCAGCAACTTTCAAATATACAATTCAGTATCGTTAACTATAGTCGTCATGCTGTACATTACATCCCCAAGACTTATTTATGTTATACCTGGAAGTTTGTACCTTTTGACCACCTTCATCCAATTCCCCTATTCTCCACCCCGCCACCCCCCCCCCCCCCAATGTCAAAATAGACTCTTGAAACTCCCAGCAGAGATAAGAAGAGTTTGGGGAGTTTCACAAAGTTTATGTGGTAAACTATATGTTTGGCAACAATGAACAGCATTTGTAAGAGCCAATTGTCCCCAATCTCCTCCCCCGCCCCCCACCACCACCCCCCACACACATCCTGCATGTTTAGGGCCAAGTGAGAGGAAGCAGATTGTGTGTCTGTGCAGGATAAGCCGTTAACTCTCAGTGCTTTGTGAGACAGAGACCATTCATCAGGACTGTTGTAAGTAAGAGCTGCCTGTTTAGCTGGGTCCGTGGACATCAAACCTGGATGTCTATAAGGATCACATGGCAAGCTTTGGAAAAGTTCAGGTACCAGGGTCCCCGTCTTGAAGATTCTAGTGTGTAGATAAGGGGCAGAGCATGGTCAGTTGTTTGCTGTTGCTATTTTGTTTTGTCTCAGGGACTTGTGATAATCAACGAAGTTTGGGACTCAGGGTTTAGGGAGTTAGGCCAGATCAGCGGTTCTCAGCCAGAGGTGGTTTTGTCCACCAGGGGACGCTTGCTAATGCCTGTCATCCAATGGTTAGAGGCCAGGGATGCTGCTGACTATCATAAACAGGAAAGGCTCCTACCACATAGAATTACGGGGCCCAAGATGTCAATGGTGCTGAGGTTGGGATAACCTTGAACTAGATAGCCTTTACAGGGTCCTTTCTAACCCTGAGGCTCTAGGATTCACACAATTAGCATGGCCATCTGTGGGTATTACTTTTATGTGTAGACAGCCCACCGTTGGGGTTGGGGAATGGAGGGGCCTGTGTTGTTCTAAACTGTGTATGCTTTGCTCCACATGTTACAAGTGTATGCCCCCCGCACAAGGTTCCTGTCTCTTTCTGGCCTTCCCTTGACCATACTATGTCTGCGTTAAGTAAATCATAATAATAGGTTTTGCAGATATTACCAGCAGAGATTTACAGGTGGGTGGGAACAGAACATTAGACATGAAGTACTCAAACAAAGCTAAGATTTTAAAGTTGCCACCAGGAAGAAATAAACTGGAATATCCACGTGCTTATACTGATTTTATCAGCACTAGCAATATTGTCGGGGGAAGTGAAGGGGACATACTTGGGTCTTCCCCTTCTCTCCACTTCCCTCGTGCCCTCAGGAGCTTCACATTTTTTCTCCTTTTACCCAATAGCAAAATCAGCACTTTGGAAAGGGCCTAAAAGATTTTTTTTTCCCATTAAGGGACTGATAAAGTTTCCAGGACAGAAAGCTTATGCCCTTGTGGGGGAATGCAGATGGGGCTTCTAACATTTGATGAATGGAGGCACCACGGAGCAGTAGAACGAGCACTGGCTTTGCTCACAGGCCATGTTCAAGGTTCAAATGCCAGGTCTGCCACTTACTGGTTGTAGGTCATGAGAAAGCCACTTAAACTCTCTGGCACTCGGCATCCTCGTCAGGAAATCGAAGATGGTAACTTCTAGATTGTAGTGTTGTGGTGAGGGTTGGACAATATCTGCAAGGAATCTGGCATGTGGCCAGCTGCAAGAGGGCTGTTTGTCTCCATTACTACTTAGATCCCCACTAGAATAGTCTCTGACCCATGGCCCATGGTAAGAGCCCGAGAGGTATCTGTTGAATGAATATGTAAAATGGCAGCCATTGTTGCTGAAAGTCTGCTCTGTGCCTAGCTGGCCTACAGAATCGCCCCGTCCCCTTGTTCACAAGCAAGAAAGCGGAGCTGCGTGCGTGAGCCTGGTCTTCTGGGATCACTAACCTTCCATTCTTTCTAACCATTCCAGGGCAAAGAAGGAGCCTTCATGGTACGGGATTCCAGGACTCCAGGCACGTACACCCTGTCTGTCTTCACCAAGGCCATCGTAAGGTATGGCGCCACCTCACTTGGCAGAGTGGGGAGAGGCCGTCCTGAAGGGGATGAGGAGGGCAGCCCACAGCAATGTCAGAGCAAGGGGTCAAAGGGCCGCTAGGAATGATGTGTGTTCCCTGTCTCCCCTTCCCGCCCTCCCCTGAGATGTCCAAGGCCAGAGAGATTAGGGACATAACTGCAGTCACTTAGCAGGAACATGGCAGAGCTGGGGCTGGTGCCAGATTCCTTTCCCGGTGAGCATCCCTGAGTGCAGAGCTCCAGAGAAAGAAAATACCTGGCCCTGTATCTGATGAGTTTGTAATTAATTACACGGAATAATAAAAACGATACCTCTGGCTGGCAGTGAGGAGATATGAATGCTAGTTCTGGCTCTGCTAATGAAGCTGCCTGCCATTTCCCGAGTCCTTACTATGTGCCAGAACATCGCCGACCATGTCCAATCCTAACGAGCCCTGAGGCAGGTGTTACTATGCTCCCTTCACAAAGGAGAGACTGAGGCTCGGGGAGCTGCCTGCACTTTCCTGAGGCAACGGAGTGCGAGCGGCCAAGCCCGTCATGTCTCCGCTGACTGCCTGCAAGACCCTCACTACTTACTTGTCTGCCCCTCTCCGGGCCTCAGTTTCCATCTCTGTAAAATGATGTCAAATTCTCTTCTAATCAGAAAATCAGGAAGAGTAAGCAGTTTGGCAATTACCAAAACTAAAGAAGAGAAGAGGGAAAATGAATTATGAAGGGGCCCTCGTGGAATACTTGTTGGAGGACAGAGGATGTGAGCAAGACTCAGAGCAAGAGCAGGGTTTAGACAGGCGACAGGGAGGAAGGGCGCTGTCCAGGGGTGGGAAAGATGGGGTGCACATCACAGAGGGGCCCACCTCTGCCCTGCCTGGGGGACAGTGGCGAGAGTGACACGCAACTGCGTAAGGTAGAATGGAGGAGAGCCAACCAAAGCGGTGTGGAAGTCTCCGAGACCACCCCCAGGTTCAGTGATTCATTAGGAAGACTTCCCCGGGCTCAGCATGTAGTGGTACTCAAGGCTGAGATTTATCACAGCCAAAGGATGCAAAGCGAAATCAGCAAAAGGCACCTGGGGCCAAATCCAGAGAAAACCAAACACAAGCGACCAGAGTCCTCTCCCAGTGGAGTCACACAGGGCATGCGGAACTTCTCCAGGAACAAGTTGGGGCAACAGGGTGAGGGGCAGGGGGCACGGGGGTGGAGGGGTGGGGGTGTTGAGTGGCATCTACGAGGGAAGCTCAGGAGAGACTCAGTGCCGATGGTTTTCATGGGGGCTGGCCACGTAGGCAGCCTCTGCCTAGCACATAGCAACATTCCAGGCTCCCAGAAGAAAAGCAGGCATTGGGCATCACCACATTGTTTATACAAACCATTTAGGCCCAGGGAGCCACCCCTATTAGTTAGAGAATGGTGAGAATCCTCCCGAAGTCCAAGGTCTCAGATGCCAGCCCAGGGCCAACCTTGCAAGGGGGTCTTTCTAAGGACATGAGTCAGGGCTGCTAGGTTAACTCTGCTGCACACATCCAACGGGTGCGAAGGGCCCGGCATGCTTCCCTAGCATATGCTGACAACTAGGTAAACCCTTAGAGCAGGGAAGGCCACTCTGGGAAGGCCTTAGAGCATGGCATCTATGAGGCCACTCCCATTTTGTGGCTGTGGGAGAAACATCACGGCACTGACTCTAACTGGGTCCAGGTGCAGACTCCAGTCCTTCAAACAGCGCTCAGAGCCAACCTGTCCAGGCGGACACAGGTTGACATATACCTGTCGTCTTTGTGAGCGAGGAAAAAACACACAAAAGCTAGTAGGAACCTGATACCAGTTGGCATTTTTGTGTCAAAGCATTGCTTCTTAATTATTGCATTTCTGTTTCATTTGTTTAAGTGAGAGCAACCCCTGCATAAAGCACTATCACATCAAAGAAACAAATGACAACCCCAAGCGATACTATGTGGCTGAAAAGTATGTGTTCGATTCCATCCCTCTGCTCATCAACTATCACCAGCACAACGGAGGAGGTGAGTCCTGCAGGACAAGGGCGGGGGGGGGGGGGGGGGGGGGGGGACGGGGTGGCGGCTCCCACAGGCACTTGGAGAAAAGTGACGAACGACGAGCCTGGTTTCCTCATGTCAGACACGCTGACCTTAAATGATAAGTAAATAGACAAATAGAAAAGGGTGCCAAACACTGGATTATATTACATATTTTCCATTAGTCAATTCTGCTGCTGGGAACCTGGGATTTCGCCACCTGCCCACCTGTGTTTCTGACTCCTCTCAGAGAGGGTGGAATGTCAGTGACTGGGCTTTGGGATCTGTTTTCCAGAATAAAAGTAGCGTTTGCACTGCGTTATATTGCTTCCTGGTGATTTAACTTGGATGGTTGTTGGTACAGCAACGCTCTAACCACAGCCTTTTGCTTTTTAATCAACCCAGGCCTGGTCACGCGCCTTCGCTACCCTGTTTGTTCCTGGAGGCAGAAAGCCCCCATCACAGCTGGGCTGAGATACGGTGAGCAGTGCATTTAGAAATGTTATACTTTTGCCTAAAACTCATGTCCCTAAAGGTCTGGGGGCAAATCTGAATGGACGTTCCATGAACCTCAGTCTTCCCCAGACTTAGAATGGCCATTAGAACAGGCACATCTGGAGATGTGTGTACAAAGAAAGCATGTATGTGTGTGAGTAAGAGAGTTTTATATATGAGACCATTTATCTTGGCCAAATCAATGTCCATTGGTTTTAGCTGAGCATTCATCGATGAAGTGCTTATTGAACCCCTACTTTGTACAGAGCACTCTACTAAAAGCTATTAGAAACGTATTAACAAACAATGCCTGAGTGCTGCTGGCCAGCCCTGGAAAACCCTCTCTGTCGCCTCCAGGGAAATGGGTGATCCGTCCCTCGGAGCTCACTTTCGTGCAGGAGATCGGCAGCGGGCAGTTCGGACTGGTGCATCTTGGCTACTGGCTCAACAAGGACAAGGTGGCCATCAAAACCATTCAGGAAGGAGCTATGTCCGAAGAGGACTTCCTGGAGGAGGCTGAAGTCATGATGTGAGTGGTCTGAACCAGGGCAGACAGAGGTGCCGTGGGGAGGGTGTTCTCGGCTGTGTTCTTTAAATAGCACTCTGATGCCGTGTTGTGCCAGCTCCCTGCTCAAATCCAGCGATGGCTTTCTATGGCACGGAGAATAAAGTCACACTCTCACCCTGGTCCCCAGGCTTGGCATGGTCTGGCCCTGCCAGCTGGTGAATCTCACCTCCTACCCAGCTCTCCTCCGGTTCACAACATGCCAACCCCACAGGCCTCCACTCATCCTCATACCCAGTTGCCATCCTTCAGGTCTAGGCTCATGTGACACGCTTTTTGGTGGTGGTGGTGGTGGGGGGGGGGTCCTTTTCAGGAAACTAAATGTGGACCGTCTCACCCCTTGCCTTTTTCCTCCAGGAAACTCTCTCACCCCAAACTGGTCCAGCTGTACGGGGTGTGCCTGGAGCAGGCCCCCATCTGCCTCGTGTTCGAGTTCATGGAACATGGCTGCCTGTCGGATTACCTGCGCAGCCAGCGGGGGCTCTTGGCTGCAGAGACCCTGCTGGGCATGTGCCTGGACGTGTGTGAGGGCATGGCCTACCTGGAAGAGGCGTGTGTCATCCACAGAGACCTGGTAAGACGGTGTAGGGCATCCACCTTCAGGTCCGGGAGGAAGGGCCCCTCAAATGTAGAGCTACTGGGATGCATTAATCAATATCAAGTCACACACCCACTCCCCTCCCATCTCCTCCCTTCCCAATCTTACTTCCTCTACCCACTTCGGGATGTCCCAGTGGGAAAGCGTTTCATGAGGACTTTGAGTGGGGCTCTAATCGCAGCCCCACCTCTAACTTTAACCCTCTGAGATTCAGTTTACATTCTACCAAAATGCAACGAAGCCTCTCTGTGTCCTCCTGGTAAGACAAGGGACGTGGACAAGTCATTTTTTCTTAAAGTGTTAGCCCAGGATCTATGAGAATCCCACCTAGAACTGTCCTCGGAACCTCTGGGGCTTGGGGCTCCGGAATCCTTATTTTAACACGCTCCGCCATGGGCTTGTAGGCACATTAACATTTGAGGCTCCCTGGAGTCTCTTCCGATGCCACATTCTGGGATACTGATTGGGGAATAGGTACCCTTCCTACTGAGACATAGTTCCAAGGGGATTAGCAACTTGAAAACATTCTTATTTTAGTCAAATGGGCGACAGACTCTTCCCAGCAGCCCTAATGTTAGCGTTTTTATCACATATGGTTGCATTAGAGCATATCATTGGTTAGACCACACATGGATTTCTCTTCTAATTAGGATCCCGGAAAGAAGATAAAAGGCCCAACTTCCTCATCCTGATAAAGCACCTCCCGCATTCCTCTTTCTCGCTACCTTTCATCAGGCGTTTGTGAAGCTCCATTAACGTTTGTCGAGCTCCTCGAGGCCTCCGACAGCAGCACCTAGAAAAGCAAAGGACCTGATTATAGGAGACGCCTTCATTATTGATTATCCACTAACAGCTTCTCTTTCCCTTCTGTTGGCCTGCCCCCTGTCCAGGCTGCCAGGAATTGCCTAGTGGGAGAAAACCAAGTCATCAAGGTGTCGGACTTTGGGATGACAAGGTAACTTGGGGACATGGTGCCGGCACAGCCTCAGGAGGGGGACTCAGGCCCCCAGAACATGCCGACATGCTCTCTCCGCTCTCTTCCCAGGTTTGTCCTTGACGATCAGTACACCAGCTCCACGGGCACCAAGTTCCCGGTGAAGTGGGCATCCCCGGAAGTCTTCTCCTTCAGCCGCTACAGCAGCAAGTCGGATGTGTGGTCATTTGGTGGGTGTCGCCTGGCCCAGAGCCACGTGATCTGAGTCTGCTTGCCCTTGAATTCTGGATGGGAGGGAGTCTGGTAGTCTGTGTGTAATAATCGCTCTCAAAAGCATGAATCGTATTTATTCTAGAGATCTTTCAAACTAGGGTAAAAATGAGAGTGGGAACAGGATTCTGGTGACAGCTGCTGTGAGATCCAAAGCTGGAGGAGTCAGGAGACTAGAATATGAGTTCCTTGAGGATCAGAACCAGATTTTGTCCAATATTATATTCCCTCATTTAATCCTCAATAACTACTTATTTATTCAGCAACAGTTTATAGAGCATCTGCTGTATGCCTGGACCTAATGTAGGAGGTCACAGTACAGTAACGGATAGTACAGCTCACAGTACAGGAAAGACTGCTCTTGAAGCTGAAGTTGAGGAGGAGACAGATAACAATTATGTAAACAAGCTAATCCAAAAAGTCAGGTAGTGATAAGTAAGTGCTATGAATAAGACAAAGTAATGGGGTGGAGAGTGACAGGGATGGAGAGAGGGTCTGTTTTAAGTACATGATCTGGGAAGGCCTCTCTGAGGAGGTAGCTCTTGGGCACCTGAATGCTGAGAGGGAGCTGAGTCCACCCGCAAGGTTTTGTCCTAATTGGCTGTAGTGTTTTAAGCAGTCCGGTTTGGGCCTTCCTGAAGTTTCTCATCAATGCCTTACAAGGTTTGCATGAAAGCAATTGTTTTCGAACCAGCATTGAGTCTCAGACCCCAATTTTCCAAAAAAAAAAATCTCACTAGAAATCCTGGCATCTTGGGATACTGAGCAGTCTTCTTTACAGATAGATTCTGAATTTCCAAAATGCCTGAGGCATTCTTAAGGATCCTTTGGAATCTTGATCCAGAGGCCTGGGCGGGGGCCAGGATCTAGCATTTGAGCCAACTTCTGGGGTGATATTTATTCAGACGTTTTGGAGATGCTGCTTTGAAAAAATCTGCCCTAAGGTTCTCTAGAATATGCTCTGAAAACACCTGGGCCGCCAGCTGTCTTCCCACTCTGTCCCCGAGGAATGTATTAGCACATGATAAAGCTGGGTGTGACATTTGTACTTTGGGCAGAAGAGGAAAAGGAATTAAATCAGGTGGTCGAAAGGGACAACCTGAAGATGTCTTTGGCTTGGTCTATACCAGCCGTGGGCAAACTACGGCCCACGGGCCGGATCCGGCCCGTTTGAAATGAATAAAACTAAAAAAAAAAAAAAAAGACCGTACCCTTTTATGTAATGATGTTTACTTTGAATTTATATTAGTTCACACAAACACTCCATCCATGCTTTTGTTCCGGCCCTCCGGTCCAGTTTAAGAACCCATTGTGGCCCTCGAGTCAAAAAGTTTGCCCAACCCTGGACTACACAGTATTCTTAAAAATGAAATGGAGTTGATATTTTAAAACTCTCAGTATATGACGTCTTTTGGAAAATCAGAAAATGTGATAATCCTGAGCCCTCATGTGCTCTGTTTTGCTGGAGCTAAATCACAGCTGTCTTGATAAGACAGAACTTTTGCTCCCCAGTTTTCCACAGTCCTCACTAGTCCCTATTACACACCTCACCCTCTTCACTCATTTATGTCACGTGTAGACATTTGAGTTTATGTCCCCTGCAAGTTTTAGTAGTAGCATTTGAGTTAGATGTAACAGGGGGCTGAGCCTGACAATTCTTCACCACTAAGAAGGTTGGGAAATCTCTGTTCTTTAGAAATAGTACAGGCCTAATGAGCCTCAGGTGGCTTGATATTTTACTTCTTGGAGGTAGGGACTTGAATCTTAATGTCAAGGAGTCTGTGATTTCTAGATGTATGTTTGTTTGCTATTTGTGAGCTTTCTCATTACTTGTGCTGCACTCACCATTTCTTATAGGTGTGCTAATGTGGGAAGTCTTCAGCGAAGGCAAAATCCCATATGAAAACCGAAGCAACTCAGAGGTGGTGGAAGACATCAGTACCGGATTTCGGTTGTACAAGCCCCGGCTGGCCTCCTCTCATATCTACCAGATCATGAATCATTGCTGGAAAGAGGTCAGTAAAGGAAGTGGGTTCCGCTGCATTACAACCTACAGCTTCAGTGTCTGCCCCCTTCCCCAGAGAAAGAGACCCTTTTAGAGGATGAGTCAGCAGGGATGAATGAAATAGATGAGCAGGAAAGTGACTTTGAGTGTCTATTAACTAGAGAGATCTGGCAGTGACCTGAAATATCATTTGATTTGCTACATAATGTCACAAGCCATCAGCACATTGTCAGAGAGAATGAGGGAGTGAAGCGTATGTCAGTATTTCAGTTTCCTGAGGGGGCGGGGGGAAGCATTTGTGTAACATTGTAAAACCGTTGTATGTACGTGAAGTTAGTTCTATAAGTTGGGGATCAGAAGTTCATGTGTGCTGAGAAAATATTAAAATGACTTAGAGTTCATTTTACTCATGTAGCAATTCAGAAAGGAAATCCAATTACTCTGCACCCTCCCAGATATCTCAGTGATCCACGTTTGGGTTACAGGCTGTGCCTTGAACCACATCAGCATGAGTCTTAGATGTCCTTGGGTGAGCTAGGAAATTGTAAATTTCAACCAAAGTTGAAAGTTGCTGAAATAGGGAGTCAATACAAATTCAGATCATTGAAGGGGAACAAGGTAGAATTAAAAAACTATAGAATACTTGGGTTTTGTCTCAGCATTCCCCTGTCTTAGTCATTAATCTTAGACAATTCTCTAAACCTGCTCTTTCTTGCTGGTAGAGAATTACATAATGCTTGATTTGTAAATTGATAGAGCTAAGTTCATAGATCTTTTATAATCAGAAACAAAGAAACAAACAAACAAGGTCACAAAACAAATCTAGTCCATTTCACAAGGGCTGAATGCTATAATAATTATGATAGATGATATTTATTTAGCACTTTTTTCTCTTCTTTAACCTGATAAACATTGTTAACGAAGTTTTAGATTTACAGAAAAATTGAGCAAATAACAGAATTCCCACATACCTTTCCCCTGTGAATACCATTTTTCATTAGTGTAGTGTATTTATTATAATTAATCAACCACTATTGGTACATTATTAACTGACATCCATCATTTACATTAAGGTTCACTCTTTGTGTTGTGCAGTCTTATAGGTTTTGAAAAATCTATAATAATAAAAGGATAATATGCTAATTAAACCGAATGACCTTCTGGGCGACCTTCCAGATGACCATGCTATGACATCCACTGGGGCCAGGCCAGCCAAGGCGGGTGCAGTGCAATTGGTCAGGGACCCGGCCATCGCCCCATGATTGCCCTGCAGAGGGAGGCCCAGGCCACCGACCAGCAGGCTGCAGTGTGTCGGTGGCCTCCCTCTGCGAGGGAAGCCCCCCAGGTCCTGGGTGCCAGAGGGGAGCTGGTGCTGGCAGCTGGGGGAAGGAAGGTCTACTCTTGCATGGATTTTGTGCATCGGGCCTCTAGTGTATAATATGTTTCTACCATTATAGTATCATACAGAATAGCTTCACTGCCCTGAAATCTGCCATACTTCACCTTTATTTATCTTTTCTCCCCTTCTCCCCAAATCCCTATCATCTATTGATCTTTTTATTATCCAAGTTTTGCCTTTTTTTAGAATGTCATCTAGTTGGAATCATACAGTGTATAGCCTTTCCATATTGAATTCTTTTACTTAACAATATGCATTTAAGTTTCTTCCATGTCTTTTTGTGGCTTGTCCACTCATTTATTTTTATCACTGAATACTATTCCATTGTATGGATAGTCCACAGTTTGTTTACCCATCCACCTACTGAAGGACAACTCGATTGCTTCCAGTTTTTGGCAACCATGAATAGAGAGAGCTGTTATAAACATTTGTGTGTAGGATTATGTATGGACATAAGTGTCAGCTCAATTGGGTAAATATCTAGAACTGTGATTACTGGATCTTTACGATAACAACGTCATGTGTAGCTTTGTGAGAATCTGCCAGACTGTCTTCCAACGTGGCTGTACCATTCTGCATTCTCACCAGCAGTGAGCACTCCTGTTGCTCCACCTCCTCACCAGCATTTGGGATTGTCAGTGTTCGTGTTGTAGATTTTAGCCTTTCTAATAGGTGTATAGTGGTATCTCTAAAACAAGTGGTATCTTGTTTTAATTTGCAATTTCCTAATGACATATGACGTTGAGCATCTTTTCATACTCACTTGCTATTTGTATATCTTCTTTAACGAGGTGTCTGTTTAGATCTTTTGCCCATTTTATTTTTTTATTTTTAATTTTTTAAATATATTTTATTGATTTTTTACAGAGAGGAAGGGAGAGGGATAGAGAGTTAGAAACATCGATGAGAGAGAAACATCAATTCAGCTGCCTCCTTCACACTCCCTACTGGGGATGTGCCCACAACCAAGGTACATGCCCTTGACCGGAATCGAACCTGGGACCCTTCAGTCCGCAGGCCGATGCTCTATCCACTGAGCCAAACCGGTCAGGGCAATCTTTTGCCCAGTTTAAAATCAGGTAATTTGTTTCTTGTTTTTAAGTTTTTGGTTTTTTTGAAGCTATTACTTTTTTATTATTTTTTTAATTCTTTATTGTTGAAAGAATTACATATGTCTCCTTTTCCCCCCATTGACCTCTCCCAGCCCACCTCCCAGAACAGGCCCTCCCTCTCCCCCCCCCCCCATTGTCTGTGTCCATTGGTTATGCTTATATGCATGCATACAAGGCTTTTAAGTTTTAAGAGGTCTTTGTATATTTCAGATATAAGTCCTTTATCAGATGTGTGTTTTGAAAATATTGTCTCTCAGCTTATGGCATGTCTTCTCATTCTCCTAACAGTGTCTTTTACAGAGTGGAAGTTTTTAAATTATAACAAAGTTCAACATCAACTTTTTCCCCCTTTATGAATCATGCTTTTGGTGTTGTAGCTAAAAAGTCATTGCCAAACCCAAGGTCACCCTATGTTATCTTCTAGAATTTTTATAAGTTTTACATTTAGGTTTATGATCCTTTTGAGTTAATTTATTTTTTTTAATATATTTTTATTGATTTCAGAGAGGAAGGGAGAGGGAGAGAAAGATAGAAACATCAATGATGAGAGAGAGTCATTGCTCAACTGCCTCCTGCACATCCCACACTGGGGATTAAGCCCACAACCCAGGCATGTGCCCTGACCAGGAATCGAACCTCGACCTCCTGATTCACAGGTTGATGCTCAACCACTGAGACACACCCGCTGAGCTTGAGTTAATTTTTGTTAAGGATATATGTATGCGTCTAAAATCATTGTATTGAATATGGATGTCTAATTGGTCTGGCACCATTTTAAAAGCATATTTTAAAATCAGCAGAGGGTATTGCTGGTGAAGTCTAGTTTGCTTTTGGAATTAGCTATGGCACACAAGTACAAGGAACTCACAGAGTTCTTTTCTTCCTTCTCTAGAAACCTGAAGACCGGCCACCCTTCTCCAGACTCTTCAGTCAACTGGGTGAAATTGCAGAATTGGGACTTTAGCAGAGACTCGGCTGCAGATCCTGAGCCAAAAGAAGTCCTCCCTCCACAGAGCATTAAAAGCTGCCACCAGCCCAGGACTCCCCAGGGGCAGCTGGCCTCTGGTGCCAGTCCCTGAGCTGCCAGGGAGGCAGCACCTTGACAGAGGCTGGCACTCCGCCACCAGCAGAAGCCTCAGCCAATGAACTGGGAGCCAGGCCAGGCAGCGGCCATGTCTCCACCCTCCCTCCAGCCTCTTATCTCGGGTGGTGCACAAACCTCAATCTGACAGCTTTCAGGCAACCTTTCTTGCACTTTTTCTTAGAGAAAGAGAGTGGGTAGGACCCTGGATTGTTGTTTTATTATTATTATTATTTTAACCATGGATCTAAGGTTAGTGGCCAGGGACTTTTTATTTGACTTGACAACACAAAATCCCAGGGATGGGGCAAGAGGAAGAGCAGCATGACTCCTGATCAAGGAGAACTGTGAGCTAATTCAGGTCAGAAAGCGTGAGCTCCTCGCACGATGCTGTCAGCCACAGCTTCCTGCCAACATGGAGGGAGGAGCAGCTGCTCACATCAGAGGCCGGATATTCTGAGAAGCAGCTATGTGAGGTTTTACTCGGAGCACACCGCCACCTTTCTCCTTGAAGGCAGCCTTATGGATTTGGGTGGACAATTCTGATCCACTGTTGGAGCGTTGGGTATCTGGTGTCTGCGCAGAAAGAGGGCATCTGATGGTAGGGAACCCGCTGAGAAAGACCTTATATTGTTACCACACCAAATGTTCACCTTTAGTACTGAGCCAGGCGGGTAACTATGCCTCCCTCCCCTCTGCACAGAACGCCCGCAGGCATCCTAGGAGGAAATGGCTGCTTCTGAACACAGACTCTGAGGACTCTGTCACCTGCCACCCACGCCTCCAGGAGTCAGGCCCCTGTCTGCATGCTTCCATCAACAACAGAGGGCAGCCTTGCGTTGTGCAGCATGGCCTTGTAGAGAAATAGAAGCCTGTTTAAGCCCTAGAAATTCACAGCTTTACAGTTGAGACTTGAAGTATCCCAAAGTTCTGGGAGAGGAACAAGGGGTCTGTTCTTTCCCAAACCATATGGATGTAAACTGAGTCAGGCACTAAGTGGGGTGCTCCTGTAGCAATGGCCACTGTGGATTGAGCACCTAAATAGGCAAAGTGAAAATGTACTGAGCTATAAGCTTTCTCTGCAATTCACCCTGAGTTCACCCCAATCTCGTGCGATAGTATTATTATTCCCGTTCTACAGACAGTAAAACTGAGGCTTTAAAAAGCCAGGAAACCTGCCAGAAGCAACAGAGCTAGGAAATATAAAGGCCAGGATTCTAGCCCACATCTGTCTGACTCCAACGCACAGTTTCTTTATTCCTGTTCAGCACTGTCTTTTACAGAGGATGAAAGGGATTGCAGAGGAGACAAATACAGCAGAGGGGAAAGACAGAGAAAGCCAATGAAGACATAAACAAAGCACCACCAGAAAAAAGGTTGCTCCTGGGGTTGGCACTGTAGCCCTCCCACTCAGAATAGGATCTTCTCTTTCCTCATCTGTAGCCTCCCTTTCGTCAAAGTTAATGAGTTTGGACTTACTCAATTAACCCTTTGATTCACGCAACCCACCAGAGCCATGTTGCATGCAGCCATTTATAGGTGAGCTTCAAAGCAGCTTAGAAAGACTCTCCTGCAGAAGTGTAGAGGCTCTTTAATTATTCCAGTGTTGAGCTGGCTGCGGTCTTCTGGGACACTTTGTGGGGAAAGGTATTCCCTGATGTAAGAGAGTGCAATTTTCCTCCAGTGTTTAGACAAAACTCTTGGTGTGATTGTTGGATGGTGTTGCAATCAGCTCTTTCTAACCCATTTGACATTTTGACTGGCTGGAGATTCAGATGTTAACTATCATGATTGTGAAACTGGGAGCCCCAAGATAAACGCTGTCATTCATAAGATGATCTTACTCAAGTTATCCAGAATCACCCCTGTGTACTTGTTTGTACATTTTCTTTGGGAAACCTTCATTAGAGAGGATTTCTCATCCAGCCTAGAAGGAAAACGTCAGAGGTGACAGATTTCTGTGGTCTGGTTTAGAAAACCCCCCCTTGCATGGTATTATCTTGTCCAGGCTCAGAGTCATTGGGGCCTTAACCGAAGGTGTGCAGAGAGTTCACCTCCCACTGCCCTATCCTGCAAAATGGGCTTCTGGCCTGTTTTTATTTTTAGTTTTCTAACATTTTGAAAATGGTGCCATGTGTTCCCTAGAATGCCCTCATACAAGGTTTGGGTTCTGGGTGCATTTTGCCTTGTCTATCTTTGGAGACTATGTATTTATATATGCATAGGTTGGATATTTATTAGTGTACAGTCATTGCTAGTGTTCACAGTAAAAATATTACCAATATCTCTTTCCCGTCATAAAGCACACAGAGTTAAAGGTGGAGTCCAGCAAATAAAGCTGTCGTTTTAATAACTAGAGTATGTATGGCCTGGGTTTCATATTTGTCCAAATGTCAAACAGTCACAGATTCTCCTTAAATAAACATGGTTAAATGATTTCATGTCCCACAGACAAGTAAAAACTATACGTCAGTCAACATTTGTTCAACAGGTAAATATCAAATGCTTCCTATGTTCCTATGACATGCTGTGCTGAGAGCTGCAGAAAAGGCACAGTCTTTACCTTTAAGAATGGTAGGTGGGTGGTGGGGGAAGGGGGTCCTAATATATGGTGACAGGAGAAGATTTGACTTTGAGTGGTGGTCACATCGTGCAATATACAGAGTTTGTAACATAGAAACCCACACCTGAAACCTATATGTTCATGTTGATCAATGTCACCCCAATAAATTTAATTAAAAAAAAGAAATGGCATGTATGTTTGGGAAGGCAGACATATAAACAAATAAGATTATGTATAATACTAGAGGCCCAGTGCACGAATTCGTGCATGGGTGGGGTCCGGCCGGCTTGGGCCCAGTTGGGGAGGATCAGGGCCAGGCCTGTTGGGAGGAGGAGATGGCGAGAGGTTGGCCAGCCAGCCCACCCCATCAGGACGATTAGGGGGAGGGGCCTCAAGCGATTGGCTGGCAGGCCCTGCCCCCAATTGGGGTGGGAGGGGCCAATCAGGTCAGTGGCCAGGGGAGGGGTTGTGGGAGTTTGGCCTGCCAACCCCACCCTCGATTGGTGTCTGTGGAGGTGATCAGGGGCAGAGCTGGCTGGGGGAGGGGCCATGGGCCAATCGAGGGTGGGGCTGGCCAGGGGGAGGGGCTGCAGGAGGTTGGCTGGACAGCCTTGCCCCCAGATCAGGCCTGTTCGCTGGCCACAGTGGGCATCATAGCAACCGGTCATTCTGGTCATTACAGCGTTCCGGTGCCTGGTTTTTTATATAGACAGATAGTATTAGAGCAACAACAAAAATATGGTCAAAGAAGAGAAGAGTTCAGAAAACTGGTGGAATCTAACACTTTTAATAGAGGGAGGCGATGTGACCTGCTGCTTTAAGTGTGGTCCCTGGACCAGAAAGAGCAGCACGACCAGCTTGTGAGAAATGCATATTCTCCAGCTTCACCCAGAGACCTGCTGAATGAGAATCATCATTTTAACAAGATCCACAGGAGATTCTATGCACATGAGTTTGGGAAGCACTGCCATAGGAGATATAATGTCTGACTCAGTTTTGAAGATGAATTATGGTGTTTTTTTTAAGACAAGCAACTGGGGGAAAAAAAATAAAAATAAATAAAAAAAATAAAGTTAAAAAAAAAAAGATAAGCAGTTGGGCAGAAATAAGAGAAATACTTTCCAGATAGAGAGATAGAGGAAACAAAATGTATTGGGAAGCTATTATCAATTCACCATTGGTGTGTGCACGCGTGCGTGTGTGTGGTCTGGGCAAGGGTGAGGATGATAGAAAGGGTAGGCAAATTGAAACCGAGGCTATAAATCTAGGCAAGGACCATGTTACAAAAGACAAAAAAAAAAAAAAAAATTGGAACTCTACCTATAGATACAAAAGTTATCATTGAGCAAGGAGAGAAAGCCAAAAAAATTTATGTGTTTTTATTCATTTTTTTTTTAGAGATCAAGGAAGGGGGAGAGAGAGAAACATCAATTGGCTGCCTCCTGCATGCACACACCCTGTCAGGGGACTGAACCCACAACCTGGGCATGCACCGTGACCTGGAAATGAACCGTCAACCTTTTGGTGCATGGGACAATATTCAGCCAACTGAGCCACATTCGCCAGGACAAGAAGGCCAAATTTGTGTTTAAAAATGTATTCTGGCAGCAGCATATCGAGGAGATTTGAGAGAGGCAACCTGGTGGAAGAGAAACCAATTTGGAGATGATTTGTGTCTTGCTCCCAGTATCAGATTATTGTTCAGACTCATTCACTGTCGTCTGCTCTGTGGGCGACATGTGGAAATTATAATTCAGTCTGCAGTCACAGTTGGACAGAAATAGATGATCTTCCCCTCCCTCTTAAAATCTCAGGGATATGAAAGCCAGGTTATTATATTTTGGGGTATGAAAGCCAGGTTATTATATTTTGGGGTATGAAAGCCAGGTTATTATATTTTGGGTGAGTTGAGCGCTCCCTGTACCTTTCAGTTCACCAAATGCCGACGTCCATTTCCCTGCAGGAACCAGTGCAGGCTCCAGAGGACCTCTAGGCACAGAAGAGAAAGCCTGTGGCTTCACGCCTTCCTTCACGGGACTCCCCTCTGGCCTGGCTCCTGCTGGCAAGTGATCCAGACAGGAAACTTCTAAAGGGGGTAGGTGAACAGACTGCTTCTCGGAGCACTTATCCTGAAGACCCTGCTCTTTCCAGAATCTTCCAAAGCTCTGAGGTCCACCACTCTGAGGAGGCAGAATAAACTCCACCCAGAAAGATGGGCCGTGCACACTCACTGTGAGAGGGTATGCATGGGCAGAGGGAGCTGTGGATTCCCTTGTCAGGGGCTCAAGAAGGCGGTCTGATGATCAGGAAGACAGGGTTGGAGTTGAAGCTGCATTTGCACAGAAAGCACATATTTTCAATTAGAGTCTATGTTTATTTGCAGGGGCTTTGAGGGAAGTGCATTGTAGCCTGCTCCCCAGAGCCACCCCTTGGTGGCAGCACTGTGTGTGCATGTGTGTGCGTGTGCATGTATGTGCCTGTGCGTGTGCGTGTGTGTGTGTCTTCAATGACTTTGAGGTTCTCTCCAAGTCGTGGTATGTAGTTGGCTTGGGAAATAACAGAAGCATACGCATACTGCTAGAAGGAGCTATAGAGATCCTTCATTTATTTCATAAGTAGTTACCATTCACTTGCTATTGCCTAGCACGGTGGTAGGTGCCTAAGATGAATAAGATGTCAGCGATCAAACACATCACACTCACAGAAAGCTCATCCAAGCAGGGTTGATTTACAAAAGGACAATTTAAAAATAGTGTGGGTCAGGTTTGGGAGAACCACGGGAAGTGGTACAGAGGAAATAACAGCCACGGAGCAGTCACCACACCGAGGCCTGGAGAGCAGGAGGGGAGTGGTCATATGAATGTGGAAGCAGAGGGCCCGTGGGAGAAGGCTGCCTTCAGAGAAGAGGACCTTTAGTCAGGACAGAGGAAGCCCCAAGCAGCATCCCAAGGAGGAAGCCAGAAGAACAAATATGCTGACCCTGCTCTCCTCCCTTCACCCCATCAACTGCTGAGGCTTCTTGTTAACCAAACCAATGGGGGCCAGAGGGCAAGGAAACCCGAGTAGGGCAGTCCACAGAGGTCAGTCTCCAGGGGAGACAGCAGGTGAGGAGAGTGGAGTGGTCTGGAGGACTGAGAGACACCAACCTGTCTGTTTCCAGATTACATGCTCCCAGCCATTCTGTGGGGTTGACTGTAGGGCCACCTATGCTAGCCTGAGCACACAGCAGCACCGACTCCATTTTACCTCAGCTATGTTTTTACATTCTAAACCCATTTGGAATATGCTCAGATCAGTTCTCATCCAAAATTGCTATAACTAGTATGTGTTTAAATAAAGATGAAATGGGGGGGGGGGGAGATCAAATGTTCTTTGCTATAAGTTATATGTAAAAGAGCTGACCTTCAAGGGAGGCTAATTCTCTGAAAATTGTGGGAAATGAACAAAGTGAAGGAAGACAGCAGAGAAGGGAGGGAATGCATTTCCAAATGGCCCAGGATGGAGCTGCAATGTTTCAACAGCTAAACATCCTCAATATTCTACATAATAAAGTCCTAATATGCAAATTGACCAAACAGCAGACCGACTATGATGCACACCAACCACCAGGGGACAGACACTCAATGCAAAAGCTGCCCCCTGGTGGTCAGTGCACAGGGGGACCTCCGCTCAGCCAAAGATGGGCTCACGGCTGGTGAGTGCAGAGGTGGTGGCAGGAGCCTCTCCTGCCTCCACTGCAGGCAGGTGGTAAGGAGCAAGGGGAGCACCAGACTGCGAGAGGGATGTCTGACTGCCAGCTTAGGCCCGATTCCAACCCCCTCCCTCCACCCCCCCCCCCCGGGGATATCCCCTCGGCCTGATCCCCCAGGCAGGCAGACATCCCCCAAGGGGTCCTGGACTTCGAGAGGGCATAGACTGGGCTGAGGGACCCCACCCCCACCCCCCATCCAGTGCATGAATTTTGTGCACCGGGCCTCTAGTCTCATCTATAAAGAAACAGACTCACAGATGCAGAGAACAGACTGAGGTTGCCAGAGGGGAGGGAAGTAGGGGGCTGGGCGAAAAAGGTGAAGGGATTAAGAAGTACAAGTTGGTAGTTACAGAACAGTCATGGAGATGTAAAAGTACAGCATAAGGAATATAGTTAATAACTTGTATGGTGCCAGGGGGATCACTTTGCAAAGTACCTGATTGTCTAACCATGATGCCATATACCTGAAACTAAGACAAAATAATATGAATGTCAACTGTAATTGAAAAATAAAAATTTAAAAAATCAACTTAATGGGTAAAAACAATACCTTAAAAATATTTCATCTATAAAATAATAGGGTGACTTCTAAGGATTTTGTGAAGATGAAATGAGCCCACCCATGTGCAATACTTAGCATAGAGGCTGGCCCCAAGTGAACATCCAATAAATTTCAGTTTTAAATATATTCTTTAACAACTCTTTTCAGATTCAATGAAGAAAATGGCCCTGACCGGTTTGGCTCAGTGAATAGAGCATCGGCCTGTGGACTGAAGGGTCCCAGGTTCGATTCCGGTCAAGGGCATGTACCTTGGTTGCGGGCACATCCCCAGTGGGAGGTGTGCAGGAGGCAGCTGATCGATGTTTCTCTCTCATCAATGTTTCTAACTCTCTATCCCTCTTTCTTCCTCTCTGTAATTAATCAATGGAATATATTGGGGGGGGGAAAAGAAAGAAAATTGGCAATCCGGTTTCCTATGAAAAGACCAGGGTCTGGATCTTGCTGGTCTTGAGCAACACTGCCCCTTTCTGGGCCCCAGTTCTTTCATTTGTAAAATGAGGCAATTTTGAGCAAGTGGTCAGGTTTGATCTAATGGATGATGTAAATTGTGTAACTGACCATTAACCTTGTCTTTTCCTGATAACTACACGAATGTTAACTACATGGACCAGATGTGTGAGCCTTCTGTAGCAATATAGAGATTTTTTTGGTATTATTCACATTTTCTCTCCATTGCAAACCTTTTTCCATCTTCCTTTTAAAATGCATTACTCATTTAAAGCATTTAAAAATAATGCATCTCTCTAATTTGCATTAACTATGGTTTTGGAATAAAGTGGCGTATTAATGAATACATGGATTCCATTGGGGAGGGACAATGAGGCTGTAGATAATTTTGGTTAAAAGCGTGAATTTGGGTTTCACTACCTGGGAAAGTTATTTAATCTGCCTTAGTTTCTTCTATTATAAACTGGGGCTAATAATTATATTTATAGGATAATTGTAAATATTATATGAAGATGCACTTGATAAATGTTAGCCATTATTATTAATATCAGTACTTTTTATTTCTCCTTCCAGAACCAATTCGTACGCCCATTACATATACACCACTATTGGTTTCTATGAAGCAGAATCTGTCAAAGGATTTTATTTATTTATTTTTAATATGTTTTTATTGATTTAAGAGAGAGGAAGTGAGAGGGAGAGAGAGAAACATCAATGATGAGAGAGAATCATTGATCAGCTGCCTCTGCACTTCCCCTACTAGAGACATGCGCTCTGACCGGGAATCGAATCGTGACCTCCTGGTTCATGGGTCAATGCTCAACCACTGAGCCACACCAGCCAGGCCGGCCAAAGGATTTTAAATGGAGACTTAGATGTCCTAAGTAATGAGGCTTTTCTAAAAACAAGGCAATATTGCCACACACAGAGACACAATGCGTGGGACACAGTTTTGCCAGTGGTGCAGCAATTCTCGCCTGATAGCCACGGTCCTCTCATTGCTGATGTTGCTGACCGGTTGGACATGGAGGGAATCTGAAGGCAGTAGATAGACGGCGACACATTTCACTGGCAACACAAAAACTAAGATTTCATTTTTGATTATTCATTCAACCCACTTTTACTGACCTCCTATGAGTACTAGTCTCTGAGGATGCAGTGGGGAGCAAGATGGACACATCCCTTCTCTTAGGTTTTATGTTCTACTGATGGGAGGCAGGCAGGTATGTCAATGATTACAATGCAGCATAACAAGGGGTATGATAGAGGAAGCCCAGGGAGCTATAGACAGCTGATCTTAACCTACCCCCAGACACGGAGGGAAACTGGAGGAAACGACATCTAAGTGGATACCAGAAGGATAAGTAGAAGCTGGGCAGCAAAGAGGGGTAAAGTGTAGAAAGGGGAGGGAAAGGAGGAGATCGTTCTCAGCAAAAAAAAAAAAAAAAGCCCAGCTTGTACAAAGGCCACAAGAGAGAGCACAGCAAATTTGGGGAACTAAGAGATTCCTTTCAGCTGAAGCAGAGCAAGCTTGTCCACAGGAGAGGTACATGCCAGGTCATGAAGACACCATAGGTCACGGTAAGGAGTTTGGGCCCCATCCTGAGAGGGTGGGGAGCTAGTGAAGTGCTCTAAGCATGGCCAAGGCGTGTCCTTTGTTTTAACTCAAAAGACTTTCCACATTCAGAGGGACTTTGGAGTGTATCCAACCTACTTCACTCTATAGAAGGAGGCACAGGGCGGTAGAGTGAGTTGCCTAAGAACGCTCAATTGCAAAACTAGGACCAAAAGGCAAGGCTCTGAACTGCCTGCATAGTGGCGACAAGAAGACCATACTGCTTCCCTTCTAAGCGAATAGCATGCGGGAGTCAGAAAATCATTTTTGCCTCAGATCTCACCAAACACACATGTAATAGTCTCTTCTGTTTTTAAGCAACTTGTTCCTAAAAGGTGAAAAGACAGGGAAGGAACCTCAGGGAGAAATACGTCTTCTGGAAGCCAACACCATTCACAACAGTATTTTCTTCAGAATGAAATCCATTCTCTCATTGTCACATATTTGTAATCACTGACACTTAAAATCCCAAGGATCACAGTGGAAAATGAAAAAAAAAAATTTTTTTAAAGAGAGAAACCTCAGTTCTGTTTTCAAAGCCATCCTTCACAAACACGCCCACAGTTTTCTCACATGGCTTCAGGAGCAGAAATGCATGAGTGTATATATGTATATATACACCACCCTTTCTAAAAATAGCCATTTAAATTAGAGTGATGTAACATCAAACCACAGAGGATCATGACTTCTGAGTGCTTGGGGACTGGTGTGAGATCGGTGAGGACAAAGACTGCCCAGCCCTTGAGTAACATGGCTCCTTTATAAATAGCCCTGGATAGGAAGAGGGAGTGATTAATATACATTTGAGGGCCCTAGGCAAACATTTCCCAATGGTTCCCTTAAAACAGGACGTTATCCCTTAAATCTATACACATCTCAAATTGCCTCAAATGCTTTGGGATTATTGACCCTGTGAGGTAGGTATGGCTCCTGATAGCCATGGTGTCATCTCAGGAGCAGGTAGTGAAATGACTTACTCCAAGGTTAGGATTGGGTGCTGTCGGCGGAGAGCCCTAAGTGGCCGATTAAGCCACGAAGAAGGTGCCTGTGCTCTTGGTTCCTTCTTGGGCTTTGCCAGGAATTACTTCATGTCACCATATCTTGTCCTTTTTGTCCATTAAGCAATTCTTCCTGAATGAGCTTGAGGCAAGTCCTGCTTAAGAGATGGCAACCTCAGGGATTCAGGAACTGAAAAGAAGGCCCCTTTCCCCAACCCCAAGGTGTTTTTCCTGTCACTTCGCCCTGTTCCCTTCCTTCACAGAACTTCTCCAGGCTGTAACTGGACAAGAGCTAGGTTCATGTACGTCTGTCCCTCCTGGGAGATCAGTTCCAAAAGGGCAGGGACCCCGTGGTTTGTACACATACCCAGCTCCTGGCACGGTGCTTGGAACAAAACAGGTGCTCACTGCCTATTAGGTGGACAAATGAGCGCTTGGGGAAAATGTGAGATCCACGAGATCGCGTGGAGCCCAAAGCTTCTGCCCTCCCGCTGCTGCAGGTGTGGGTCCAGGCGCGCGGGGCCTGGGGACAAGTGCTCCCTCTCTTCTCCTTCCCCAGAGCAGGGTGGTGGCCGGAGGTAGCCGGGGCGGGAGGCCGGGGTACAGGTCTGGGATACGCCGGCCGGCAGCGGAGAGGGGCGCACCCCGAGCCCCTCGCCGCAGCCATTTCCTGCTCTTTGTGTGACAGCCGCGCCGGCGAGGGGCCGGCACCGGAGGCGGGGGCGGGGCCGCGCGGGAGGAGGGGCGGGGCCGAGGGCGGGGCCGCGCGCGCAGCCGGCGGACCCGGGCCCGCAGAGCATCCTGCGCCCCGGCGCGGGGCCCCGCGGTATCCTCGGGCGGCGCCTCCGGACCTGCCGCACACCCAGGTAAGCGGCGTCCGCAGGCCCTGGGGCCGGCGCGGGGACCGGGATGCGGCTGGAGACGGCGACGTGGCCGGGAGGATGCGCGAGGGGTTGGCGCCCCTTCTCCCAGCCTGCGGGGGGCGCTCGGCGCCGCGCCCCTGCTAGCGCGGCCTGAGGGCCCCCGGAAGCCCTGGAGGCTGGGCCCCAGGCTCTGCGGGGGCCCCCGTTCCCCTCCGGCCTACCCTGGGCCCCGCGGCGAGGACACCCTGCGGAGAGGCGCGGGCACACCGAGGGGCTGGGGCGCGGCGGCAGCAGCAGCAGGTGCGCGGCCTGGACCCGAGCTGCTGCCGGTGAGGAAGCGACGCCGATCCGAACACCGGAGACACCTGCAGCGGCCGCGGTCCGGGCAACGGCAGCAGCCTTGCGCGCCCAGGTGCTGCGGGGCTCCAGCCTCTGTCTCTGCCGCCGCGGCCACCCTCACCTCCCCCAGGGCTAAGGGAGCCGCCTGGGCCCGCCTGGCCGTGGCCTTGGGCACTCTGCGCCCCGCTGTGAACCTGAGATGGGTGGGGCGAGGGGGCGTAGCGGCGCTTTGTGGGGGGCGGGGGGCATTAATGAGGGAGGAGGCGCGTCTGACCCGCTTTGAAGCTTCCAGGCCTCCACGGGCAGCGCGCTCTCTCCTCCCGGCTAGCTGGGGCGGGGGAGGAGGGGGGAGGGGTGGAGTGGGCTGACTCCTGGGGAAGAGGTTGGGTTGTCTCGAGCTCTGAAGAATCAGGAAGACGCCCACCTGTCTGTTGGTTTCAGCTTTTCAGGACAGCCGGCCCCCTGCATGGTACACACCACCTATGTGAAAAGCAAGAGAAAGGGGCGCTCTCTGTTTGGGGGTGGGGCAGGAAGAGTAAGGCTCTCTGTACAGAGAACCCGGCAGGGAAGGACACAGCTGCCCAGGTGCCCTCTCCAGCCCAGGGATTCTGACTTTGAATTAGAGTTTTCCCGGCACAGCAGAAACACCAAGGGCCAGTGGCCCTCAGCTCCCTCTCCAGCCAGGCCAGGAAGGGGGCAAGAATATATTCTTGCTGGCTCTGGGTGTTTGTGCTCCCAGGGAATGAGCGGGGATATCGGGGCAGCCCTGTGGGCATGATCAGGAGAGTGCTGGCCCCCACAATCCCCCTTTCCACCTCCTGCCTGCGTCCCCCCCTTTATTTAGCACAGGGGTCTTACCTTTCTCTTGGGCACAGGCCCTGTTGGAAGGTACTGGCGAATCTGAAGATCACAGATGGTGGAGGGTAAAAATCAAGGTCCACATTCTAGCGCAGGATTCTTAAGGCCTTAAGGTGTTTTCTCCAGCATCAGCTTCCTCTGGGACCCTCCGTGAGGCCTCCCACCTCCACTTCCACCCAGTGCCCTGTGCTTCCCATTCTCCTTGTTTTCAAGAAAGGAGCCAGTGACCATGTTTATCCTCAAGAGCTAAATACAAAAGAATTTCCCATTCCACACAGAGCAGGTGCTTTGATGTCATTTGACCAGAAAGGAAACAGAGGAGGAGAGGCATTTTAATGGGAAGCAAAGCTTTCGGCCAAATACCCGATAGCTCTAATGGTGGAATTTCAGGCGGTGGCTGGAAGTCAGAGTGGGGAGCTGAGGAGCAGTTTTGGGGAACAGCTTCCTTTGGGGAGCAGCTGCCAGCTCCATTTGCTGCAAGGGCAGCTTTGGACCCGAGGGCAAAAATATAGTAAGAGTGTGTATGTGTAACTGGTCAGGGGTTACTGTCACCGGAAAGCATTTGTTGAGTGAGCACCCAGTGTCCACTTGGGGAGAGTTACTCCTTGGCACTGGCTGCCACCTGCCAGGATGGCTACTAGGCCACAAGAAGAATGTGGAATGTGTGGTTACTTACAGAACCAGTGTCTCTGGCTAGTTGTGCATGCTGAGTCTCCAGCTGGGGGCAACAGCTCTCTGCTCACTAAGCTTCTTTATTATATTTCCTGGCCAGTTCTGACCGGTTCTGTAGGCACCCAAGGCTGCTTTGTTCAGTCCCTGCTGGAAATGGAAAAGGAAAAACTTGCTTTAGGCATTAGGCCAAGAGTGGGGTATAAAAACCAGCAGGATTGAAGAGTTTTCCTCAAATCAAATCAGGCTGGCCCAGAGAAGGAAGTCAATGTGAATTTTAAAATGTGAGAAGGGCCCCAGGAGAACATGACAGGTCTTCTCTGGTGAATCGTGCCCGCTCAGGGTGCTCAGTGGGCCTCCACCGCTGTCATTGACCAGCGAGCAGAATTAGTTGATCAATAGGCCACAAGCTAATTAACATTGGGGACAGCGCCCCTGGAAAATTGTGCATAGCTCCAGTCTCCACGTTTGAGGATCAGCCTACACTCTCAAAGGGCTTTCTTTGGGCCACTGTTGGCCCCAGGGTTCCACCAAGGGCTTCACAAAATGGCCTTTTGTAGCCTCCATGTGGCCACCATAACAATGAGTCTATTTCTTTACTGGCAAGTATTAATTATTCACTTGTAGCTGATGAAACTAGACGTCAGTCACCTCATTGGAGCCTTTGTAAAAAGGTCTTTGGTCTTGTTGTTTTAAGGAGCAAAGCCATGCGTAGGGGCCAGAGGATGGGCCCTGCATTTGTGGTGGGACAAGGAGGTGGAGCATGCTGCTGCCTACTGACTGGCAAGGGGGCAGGCCAGCAGCAGAGGGGCAGGAGCTGGTACTTCCTTGGATGTTCTTATTTAATGAGGGATGCATGAAAATGCTTAGTAGAGTGTCTAGCACATGGTGCCATTATATGTATAAATTTATTGTTAGAGGTCTCTCTTACGTAATCATTAAGAATGTGGCTCTTATGTGTAATTAATCCACAGCTCTTTTTGGTTTGTTTGTTTTGTTATCCTCACCAGAGGACATTTTTCTATTGGCTTCTTTTAGAGAGAGCAGAGGAGAGAGGGGGAAACAGAGAGAGAAACATCTATGTGAGAGAGACCCATCAATGGATTGCCTCCTGCATGCGCCCTGACCAAGGCCAGGGATCGAGCCTGCAACCAAGGTACATGCCCTTGACTGGAATCAAACCCGGGACCCTTCAGTCCGCAGGCTGACACTCTATCATCTGAACCACACTGGCTAGGGCTTAACCCACAGCCCTCACCAACTCCTCTACCTCCAGAGCCTTCCTGGATTTTGCTTTTCTCAAGGGAGTTGGTCTCTGTAACCAGGAAACCGAGCCCCAGGTTTACCTGCAAAAGGTAGCCAAAGGAAAGAGTGATAAGACCGGGTGTCAGTAAGGGCTTCAGGTAGGAAGTGCTCTTGAGTAGCACTCTGAAGGTGGGTATAATTTGAGTAGGCAGAGAGAGGGGGGAGGGAATATGCGGAGCAGAAGCCCAGAGGTAGTTCTCACATTTCGACACAGGTCAGGAAGGACCTCTTCCTCTGTGTGCATTCAGCATTTTGCAACCAACCAGGCACGTTGGAGGCACGCTTGGCTTCTCGGGCAGACAGAGCAGTACAGTGGACTTAGGACACAGGACTTGCTGTGTTTCTTTCAATCAGCCACTAGCTCTCTGACTTTAGAAATTGGACAATGGAAAGCAGCCTGCCCAGCCTGTTAACCTACCTGTCGCCACAGGAGCCCAAGATGAGATAATGTCTGTAAGTCCCAGACTAAGAAGAAAAGGCCATGGGAAGAGAGAAGAGAAGGAGGTTCCGGAATGTGTGCTTCTCTTGGATGGCTGCCCTCCATTCCTAAAGGAACAGTTTATTAATTCTATATTGTGTGTCCATTTGAGAGGACAAATCTGTAGCCTCTCTGTACTATTGTGCCAAAGGGAAACTGAAAAGCATTTTGTGATTCACAGATTCTGTCAAGGCCCCTGGATGGCCTTGTCTGTTCAAAGACACTTCAGATTTCAGTCAGTGGGTGTGGGACACCTCCCAGGGTGCAAAGAATTTGGATATTGGCTTCCTAGCCATGGCCTTTGTGCTGAGGGCTGTGTGTGATGTTCCTCAAAGGATGACCTTTCGGGACATACTTGTTGGACTCTGGTAACAGAGGAGAGAACAAATGGGGTGTAAATTCTTAAAAGAAACTTTTTGAGAAGACAGCTTGGGTTCAGGCAGAATTTCTTGCAGGGATCTTTCTGGCTGAGTGGCATACATGGCCTTCTGGAGAGATGCCCAAGAAAGACCCAGTGATGACTTCATCAATAGGCCTTTTGATTTTGTGTTTGCATCATCATTATGTCATTTTACAGCAGTCGTTCTCAGACTTCCGTCTCTTCGTGGGATGGAGGGATGATTAGTATGTCCAGGTTGTATGGTCCCTGTCTTCTGAATAAGGCAGGAGATGAGGTCTTATGCAGAAACTAAAGGTGGTGGAGTGGTTAGGAAAGTTCAAGAGCCTTCCGGAGGTTTGGAGCAGCTGCCTCTGTGGGTGGAATAAGAAATCTATTGGGGATGAATGAGGGGATTGTCTAACTCCACTGAAGGCCCAACCAAAACCAAAGAGCATCTGCAGGGCTAGCCCTCATAGAAAATACTCAGTAACTCAGTATTAAGTGAAGGTGTATCTGAGAATGATTTTGATTTGTGCTTTTAAAATGTGATTCCTTATGACCGATTTTGGTCTATATAACGGGAGAGACAAGAATTCAACACCGAGAGTCATCCATCAACCTCCAAGTGTGCTCTCTCACATGGAAAAGAACAATGAGGTTCCACTTTTTATGGATGGAGGTGGGAACTATGACAGAAGGATTTTGTAGAGGTCTCTTCAGATTCTTACAGGAATAAGACTTACTTAGATACGATACCTTAAGGACCATGGTGTTTTATGTTTTGTGTTATTTTCTTAACTAGAAGACATGAATTTTGGCCATTCACGCATGCATTCAACAAATTATTCATGAGGTGCTAATTAAGCAAGTAATGCCTTGTATGTGCGCAGCTCTGTAGTAATTGATATCCCCCAAAAGATGACTTTGGGTGATCCACTTCGGTAGTAAAGTATAAAGCAGTTTATAATGCAGTAGGAAGTGATGGACTCTAGACTGTGAGTGGAATAGGAATCCAGAGAAATGAAGGTTGTGTTGGAGCTCAACTGGTCACACCTTCACGGAGGCAGTCTTCCTTGAATAGGGCCTTGACAATCAATAGTCAAGGGTAGGATTTGAGAAGGGGAGTAAACAGCCCAGTAGAGAGTGGAGAGAGTTTGAGCAAAGGCACAAAGAATGCCCATGGGCTGGTTCGTGGCACCCTGAACACCCTGGCCACAGTGGCCAGTCCATGTTGGGAAATGTGATTTTTACAGAAGCCCTTGGGATGGAGTGTCCCATCTATAGTCAGTCATTTGCTTTTGAGTTGGAAAGAGAAGCTCAAGTCCAATGATTCCTAACTGGTTGGAGCAATATTGACATCATACCCACAGCTATTCCCTCCCCCTAACTCTACCCCATTTTCTCCCACTTAAGGAAAGAGATGAGCACACAAGCAATGATATCATGGGAGGACTCTGAGCCCTCCTTCACACATAACGAAAAGCACCTTGTTTGCAAACCTCACTCCTTAAACCGTTATTAGTACAAGGTGCCACAACAACCTTCACAACAGAGCTTTTGACAGAGAACCAACACCAGGTCACCCTGCATATTTCACAGTCAGGGAAATTGCCCTTTTACAGCGAGTGAAAATGTGATTCAGGACCTAATCAGTCTTCAGGCCGAGCCACCCTCAAGTTGCAATTTCACCTCGATGGAGCTGAGGTCTGGGTGCTCCCATCTGGTGGCCAAACCTGAAGTCTCATTCTTTGTTTCGCCAGCAGGTGCAGTGGCTTCCCTTTTTTGAGTTTTAGCAGGTGCCTCTGAGAGGCAGCTGCTCTCCCTGGATTAAAGTCCTTTCTATTGGTGTCCCTCATGTGGTGGTTTGTCACAGGCCCCCCTCGGGAGCAAATCAGCAAGCTGCCTTCCGTGGTATGACCCCCCCCCCCTCCCCCGCCCCTGGAGGCTGGTATCTGGCTGGTTGGGTGATCAACAGAAAGTCCCCCTCAACCCTGACAACAGGAAGCTGCTGTAAATCAGCACATGCAGTGGCGAGCCCTTGGGCCCCACCAGGGTCTCTTTCTTCGCTGTTAACAAAGAGGACGATAGGCCTTCTCCAGAGGCCCAAGTCCAGGCTGACAGCCTTCTCTGCTCTAACCTCAGGTCCCCTGTGTGGAGAGAAACTGCAGGTGGCAGGGCCTCTGGTCCCAGAAGACCCAAAGTGAGGCCCTTACTTAGCAGAGTCTGCCTAGAGACAGGGCTGGGGGACAGGCCAGATGTCTGAACTG